GAGGCTACCACTACGTAATATCGCCTGGCAAAATCCTCTGCGCATCTCGAGAGGGAACACCAGTGCGCCTCGAGTGATTAGCGTGCTACAAGCAGACCTGAAAAGATACTCGCCGGACATGTTTCCTCGGGCAATGCCAGGAAGATTGTACCACAGTCCATACTTTTTACATTTGTATTTGGTTACCACCGATGTAAGTTCTAGCCAGCATGGCGAGTCGGATGGGAAGATATTTCGTTCTCAGAGTCTACCACCTCATGTGTATTATTTTACGAATATAAAATACACAATTCTGAGCCTCTTCTCGTTTTGGGATTAGGATAATGAACTTTATAAAACCGTCATACGCAAGCAAATCCAGGACTGGTTGAATGTTGTGGCGAATAAAAAGAATCAAGAATGGTTGATTGTGTATGTGTCCAGCCCTGAATCGAGAGGAAAATCTGCAAGATTTTTGGGAGTTGGCGCCAGTGTTTTTGATCGCATTAAGTCAGATTTCAATTTCAAGAAGGAACGGTGGGTTTATCATGCTAAGGAATGCATGGAATTACGAAGGGTTTTGACTGTAGATTCTACTAGCTGCGTCCGCGTCAAGCTTTACAATGATGTCAGCAAAGATGCAGACTCGTGGACAGAGCTGCAGAATCATATGAAAGATGGCATTGTAAATAGCTTGAATCAACAGATACTCCAATATGATGAGGACACTCGGCGCTTTGATCAACAAAGGCTGATGCCCGGATGGAATTATTGTCAATATTTTATCATGAAAGTACGTTGTTGGAGGATCCGAAAGCAACGTCAGACTCCGACTGATAGATGTTTGTCCACATAGGAAGGATTGGCGTACACCTTTGAATTGATGAACCTGTTTGATGAGGCTCTCATACAATATGATGAATTGGAAGCATCCTTCTTTCAAACACTAGCAGGTGGCTATTGAACGGCATATCTAAAGTATGACGCCCATGTAACCTTCAATATTCAGAGCAGGGCGCTCCCTGGTTCGCAAAGTTTGGTGGCACCGAGCCAGAAGATGACAGTGGGGACATTCTGAATATCAAAAGAAAACCGTACCGAGATATGATAATGCAAAACACGATCTCCATTTTTGACTTTCGGATGTATTTGTTCGCGCGACAGTGCCAATTACTTTTTCGGATGGGCTATGCCGTAGACATCTGTCAGAGGGCAAAGGTCTTCATTACGCAGTTTGCACGTACAATTCAGGAGCATCAGGTGTGTTCATCAGTTGAGCATGACAGCAACACCTTGCATTGATATCTTTCGAAGGTATCTTTGATTTCCTGTTTCCGAGAATCGTGGATTTATTCTGCATGCATGAACGTTATTGGGCACTGCGAAGAGTTGGTAGCTGTCTCAACACTACCCTCCGAGGTTCTCACATTTTATGAGGGCGCAAAGGCGGATTTGTTGCAGTACGCGCGGATGCAGGTAAATAGCGCTAACAGCAGGGCGAACCGATGCACCGTCCGATCATGTACTTAAAGAACAATAGTTGGATAGCCTAGGATTAGCATCCAACCTTTTCCCCTATTCTATTCATGCAAATATGCGGGGATTGGAGACTGCCAATCTGGAGCTATTGAACGGGAATGGAGCTGCCCCCAACGTCCAGGTTGACGCAAGAACAGTCGCAGATATTACCAATTCGGAGCTGAAAGAAGCCATGTCATCTATTGCTGCTTTTGATGATCTGTATCTGGTGAGGTACAATGATTGTCCTACGAAAGGAAACAGTTCTAATGTCAGGGCAGAAAATCACCAACAGAGCGGTAAAGAGCTGCGACGCGAGTGCACATAGCAGAGCAATGTGGCTTCTGAAAGGCGACATTGCATATTTGCACTAGTGAGTGTCTCGTCTAAGTTCCTGGTCGCTTCGCCGTCACTCAGAGTAGGCTTATAGCACGCGCAACCGATATGAGGACGCCGCCAGCATATGGGAAACGATGGTCTTCAAGTACTCTGAGAATGGGTGGACTGGTCTGGATAACCTGGTCATTGAGAAACTTGCAATTTGCCAGAAAACATTGAACCACGTTGCTCAATATCCTTCTCGCCTCACTTGCTTGATGAACTTCCTATCGTATTGTCCTTAACCAAGGTGTACATATCTCGACTCTTGTCTTCATCTAGTCGTAACTTCCGAGATGCTTTCTGCGGAACGTGTGTCACATTTTGCAAATGAGTTTTTATGGGCAGCCTCGAATCTTGATCATGGTATGCGATGTCGACCAGATTTTTATGACGCCACGGAGAAGTTAACTGTTCAGAAGTCATAAAGAAGCAGGACAGCGCCGTAATCAGTGTCGCTATCTTGTCCGTGGTGAACGAAATTGGAGATGATGATGGCTTGGTGGTTGCCGTCGAAGTTCAAAATCACCTGCCACAGGTTTGCTGCTCAGCTGCGCAGAATGTGAGACCTGCGTACGTTAAAATTGAATAACAGGCTTTCACTGCGGACGAGCTCCGCTTATCTTTGACTGGTGGTGACATGGGAGACCATCATTGCAGGGCTACCAACCTGAAAGTGGAACCTGGCGCAAACAAAATTCTGTTGACGGGAGAGGTCAGTTCTCAGTTCAACCTTCTCATCTCACAAACGGTCGCCGGTGCTGAATGATGGTCGACAGAAAATTACAATCTCGGGTACTTATACGGTCGGCTTGACGACATTGCAAATTGGAAAGTTGCAGCTCGAGTACCGGAGTAGAACGTCGTTTCGCGTGACTGGCAATCCAGTTCCTGTGAGAATATTGGCAGGTCTTCCGGACAAAAGTACGACATCATATGCTCTTGTGCGCGGGTCCTTCGTACTGTTTCTGAATAATTTCTGTCGCTCCTCCTAGTAACGTTTGGTGAAACAAACAACAGTCTGCAGATTAAGTTATTTACCGGCCATCAAGCGATTAAAGGCGGCAGTTTGGTAATTTCTGCGCTCACACCGGTGTCCTTTCCTACAATGAAATCTGTACTGTTCCGAACAACGTCCAGTTTAGGTATGCCCCATTCGAAATTGGTCAATGGATACGTCCGATGGCTGACATGATAGTAGAGGAAACTGCCCACGCGAAAGAGCGTACAATTGATACCACGGAAAACAGAATTCTCCTGCCAGCTTGTGAGCAGCACGAGATGGTCACATTCTACGTTCCTTTCAACGAATCAAATGACACTATGTCCCATGAACACAAGGTGCCATTTTCGCTTACGGGAACTGGCATTGCTGATCATGAGACTAAGTACAATTTAGCTGAGAATCCTTTTGGATTACACGACAGAAGGCGACAAACGATTCACATGTGCGGTGATTGAGAGGATTAATCTGTCGCCTTCGTTCGACTTGAATTACTCCATCACCTACAGTCCGACTGGGTTAGAGCATGTGCGGAACGTATCGTAGCATAAGTACGCTCAAACCTGGTAATTACTAGGTCTCTCTTGCAATACACTCTGAGAGGAAACGAATCTGTGCCGATTCGCATTCTGCAAGCAAGGATCGACCTGACCCCTATCCATCAACCTGTAGCGTATTCAGATGTACAGGGAATGGTGAGGGGCCTTTGCAGAGAACCAATTGGTGCTGTGGGCAAGTTGCTAAACACGTCAGCAGGTGATCTTTCATAGTCAAGTAGTGCCATTACTGTACAAGCTGGAACCCAACAATGCACCGCCTTCAGGTTCGTTTAGTGATCCGCAAGTATTTGTTGTAAAGAGCATACCACCGACTGGTGCCTGGATCATCAGATGTCTCCAAGAAGACGGCAAGCTATGAGCCCTCGGACGTAAAAGTACAGTTGACTTTGAACTATTATTCCTTGAAAGAAGGTTCGTTACTGTTGCAGGGTTTCATAGTGATAGGTTCGGGCACAAGGCTAGCATGTTGATGTCCATATCCTACCGTCAGAGCTCGAAGCATATTTGCTAGACAACCTTAGTCGCTGCCTTGTTGAACGTAACATGGCCAAATACTCGGCATGTCTTGCTCACTTTGTTCGAGAGAGCATTGTACCGAACATCGACTATCTGTGCTACGCTGTCAAGAAAAGTGTGTCGCTCCCACCAGTGGACTTACCTGCATTGGAGGCAATCTTGAATTCACAACCTGCACAGATAATCAAGGATATCGGTGATTTTATGAACGATTTTTCAAAGGTTCGCGCTTGGATGTGTTCTAATAACCGATCAGGCCACAAGCGCTCAAAGTGCCCTGTTAGAAATTTTCGGTAATATCAGAGGCTGATGCGCAGCAAGCGAAGGGGCTTACCATCAAAACACTCGTATACCACACCGAATCCCCGCTTTGCAAGGTTGCATGAAAGCTGTATTGTATTGCATGGGTGGTTTCCCTCCTGCTAACTTCCGGTTTCTTCCCTCCTATAAAGGTGCTCCTCACAGCTAAAGTTAGTGTACGAAAAGCTGCGGCTACGGCTGAAGGTGTCGTCGTGAGCAAGCCTTTGCCATGCTGTCTGCGAATCACGTCTGCTCAGTGGGAGGACGCGAGCAGCGAGATTCCTCTCATTTACGAGATAACAGTGGACCACACCAGCTGGATGTTTTCAGGGAAGAGGAAGCAAGCGTTCACGCTAAAGGTATATTGAATGCGCTAGGTTTTGTGAATGCTGCAATCTGAGAAATAATTTCCTTTGGAAAGGCGGAGGGATCTGCAGAGTTCCCGTTCACCCTCATTCCTGTCAAAACAGGACGACTGCTACTGCCTCAAGTTACTATCCGTAGTTCGTCAACGGTTGTGCAGACAGTATATCCCACGAATTCCTTGAGTATCCATAGTTCTGCACCATTGCATGCCCAAATAGCCCTAGGTCTCGCTGACTTTTAAGTGCTAGTACATCATGACGTATTATTTATATATTTCCAGCTACCGGTTATTGCTCACTACCAAAACTCCTTGTTCTCTTTTGCGATTCGAGCTTTCTAGATAGATGTGTAGGTGACAGCTTGCGCTAATGCTAGAACAGTGACCATGGCATACCTCAATTATATAGGTTCCCTCTTTGTACTTTTGGCTCTGCTCAAAGGCAAAAAGATATTTCCAGCCAACTACTGTGCGACAGACAGTGCAGGAGATATCCGCGACTGTGTGAAGCCCCGTAATAAGGAGCCGATCTTCTTTCGCGCCCACTGCAACGTTTTCACTTGAAAAAGCATATAGCTCAGCGTAATCACAGGAAAGAATAACAAGACGACGTGCTCACGCAGCACAAAACAGGTACGCCCTTGAAGTTCTTCCCATAAAAGCTCTCGAGATCAAGTCTTTGAAGCAAGTTAAGGGAATATCGGGAGAAACAAAAATCAAACGATCTGCGAACCTTCATGGCTAGCCAAATGAGCTGCCGTCAGACAGTCAATGAGTACATTGTAGTCCAGTAGAACTGGCAGTAAACAGCTGCTTCCACCGCTGACACATACTCTGACATTGAAGACATACATATATACAGTCCCCAGAAAGGTAGGTTAGTCGCTTTGGCGAGGCCATGGCATTTCATTAAAACTTGAAAAGGTGAATGCGGGTGTAAAGTCCACCTGCTGGCTGCTTGCTTACGCAGCGCTGTCTCACGTGTTGCGCAGCACTGGTTGTCGTTTGACGTCAGATTCAAAGTCACCTCGATAACTGTTCTGGTGAGATAATTTGGGCATTCATCACGAATATTGCGACGCGAGACGTTGAACACTCGTTTGCTGTACTGTGGATATTTGGCGCCTATAGGGTGCATGTGCTTGCGTTTGATTCTATCCTGGAGGAATTATTCCACAAATATCTGGGCAGAGGAGCTGTTTGTGAGGCTCTAGCACGGAGCTTCTCGCGATGTTTGAAAAGTTTATCGCACCGGTGATAAATAAGGTGAGCCAATTTGAGGTTTGAGACTTGCGTATAACAGCATGGCTAATATTGCCTTTCTCGCAGGTCCTTGGCGATTATGTTGGAAATTTGGAAAGTAAACAGCTGAGCATTGGGATATGGCAGGGTACATATCTATATCTGTTTTATAATAATATCGAGATTCTAAACTCGATTGGGCCTGTAGGGGATGTTGCGCTGCATAACTTGCGATTGAGAAAAGATGCCTTGGATAAATTTAATCTGCCTATTGAAGTTTTGGAAGGTGCGAAGAGGGGCGGCTGTCTAGTATGAATGTAGCCGTAACATGTGGACTCAAATTGGGAGATCTTAGGTTACCTGGGGGACCTGACACTTAGCATACCGTGGAATGACTTGAAGAACAAGCCAGTAAAGATTTTCATCAACAATGTTTATTTGCTGGCGAGACCCAAAGCGGCTGGCGACTACGATCCGATCGAGGAAGATGAACGGATGCAAAAAGCAAAACAGGAACGTCTTGAAACCGCAGAGATGATCCTAAACCGCAAAAAGGAACCGCAGCTTGGTGAGCTATGATGCTACTGCGAATCTTGCGCCAGGTGACATAACTGAGCGGTCTGTCATGTCTTTCTAGAGGGAAAACAGAACGATACTACCTTCATGACGCAGCTTGTGACAAAGATCGTTGATAATCTGCAAATAACAATGAAAAACATACATATCCGATATGAGGATAGTTTGAGTAACCCATCAGTGTGTAGCCGTATATTTACTTTCTGATATCGGCTTCTGTATTTAACTCGTTGCTCACATGTCGTTTCATCTCAGAATCCTTTCTCGGTCGGCATTACTCTAGAAGAGCTCTCCGCGGTGTCATGCGATCAAAATTGGCAGCCGGCATTCATCCATGAACAAACTGACATGATTCGAAAGGTAGCCTTCCCGATTGACGTGAATTGCTGCTTTGGGTTCTTATGCATTCACAGCTATCTAGACTTGGGAGCCTTGCTCTGTATTTTAACACGCATTCTGAATCATTTTCCGGGAAGTCACCGGAGGAATTTATGAAGATTTTCCATGAATCGGTGCGTCAAATTGTAGCGTCATAATTACATTGAAGCTAATTTAGGCCATTGCACAAGATCGCAACAGGCGAACGGATTCCAATCAATCAGCAGTACATCTTAAAACCAGTCTCGGGTACTGCAAGAGTATGTTACCGTTCGATTTGGGCACTGTGACATATCCCATCAACACTTGTGATGCAGCTGAAAACTTACAAGAAACAACCCATTGACGACGCACGTCACACTGCGTGGTTGGAATTCGACGAGCTAGGCTTTGTCCTGGATAGGGCGCAGTTCACAAACTCAATCTCTCTACTGGGAGCATTTTCGTCCTACCTTCGATCACACAAGGTACGACTTTACACATTCTTGTCTGTGACTTTGGACTAACGTCCTACATTTGACGTTTGTTCATAGTACCGAAAATTCCGGCCGCCGCGCACGATTACACCAGTCATGGACCCGAAAGCTTGGCTAAAATATGCCGGTCAGTGTTACTTTACCAGAAGCTGTGGAGCGTCTGCTAATTCGAAATCATATCCTCAGCTAACTCGATACTGTCCGATATACATGAGAAAAACCGCCGTTGGACATGGGCGTATTTTGAGGAGCGGCGGAAGGATCGTCTCCTCTATATCGAGCTCTACAAGCGCCAGAAAGAGGGAACCCAGTCCCTGGAGGTAATACCTTGTCTTCCATTTCGCGGATCTATGTAGTGTATCTTATCGGACCACAGGATCGAGTCCTACTTAGTGACCTCGAAAGAAAGCTGTCATTTGAGGACATCTTACTCTACAGATCCGTCGCACTATCGCAGATGCGTAAATCAGCACCTACTAGTCCAAGTTAGTTCAGCAGTTGCTACAAGCGGTATCTTCTATTTCGAAAAAAGTACTTATCTCCCATTGTTCAGCCAAACTCGTCGAAAAGGAAACACCAAAGTCCACCACCTGGAGTACTTTGAGCAATTGGTGGGGAGGAACATCGAAAACTGAGGTACTCCAAAGAGTGGTCGGGTTTGTCGTTTCCAGGCATGCTGAGATTCCATGATAAACAACTCTTCATTGTAGGCATCAAAGTCTGGAGATAGTTTTCTAACAGACGATCAAATGAAGCAACTGTATGATACCATCGAATTTAATCCAGACGCGCCTACCGCAGCAGTCGAGCTTCCTCAAGACGTAATGTGGCACGCTCTGAACCTTTCATAGATGGTCCAAAAATAATTGTTTATTCTGGCTTAGGCGGTTCTCGTCAGCCTGCGGTCCCATTTGAAAAGTGGCTCACTGGCACTGAAAGATGCGCCCTCGGGTGCGGATACTTCTCTAATGTCTCTCATCTTCCAAGACTTCCGTGCTAACGTGACGCAATATGTCGCGTCTTTGATGGGAAATATTACCTTGGGCAATATGGTTCTTAATGACAGCACCACCCCGGGGACTCTCTACCCGACGCTGATACAGGCGAAAAATAGAAAGGAAGATTTAGAAGCCAAGTGAGTCACGCGTCCTTTTTCAAAACTCTCTCTCAATACCAACCTCCGGCATAGGGAGCTGCAAGGCCCCTTCTTCAAGATGCAAGTTGAACATAACCCGTTAGATGGCCGAGCAGATGATGCCGTCTCGATCGTGATGTTACCTCTGCAAGTTGTCTATAACCCTGTTGCCATTAATACATTGGTCGGATTTTTCACACCCCCGCCCTCAGAGTTTGACATGGTGTCGACAATTCAGGTAAGCGCCCTCTGTTAGAAAGCGTATTTCGTAAGATTTTTATCGATCTCCCACAGGCCGTCGCGCAAGACACATTTGAAGGATTGACCGCGCAAACCAGGGCAGGGCTGGCTTATGCGCTGGAGGAACACAAAACCTTGGATCTTAAAGTGGACTTCGCTGCACCGATCTTTGTGCTTCCTCAGAGGTAAATATATGAGTACGTGTTAGGAGAATAGACGGAGAGACGTCAATATGCCCTTTCGTAGTTGTACCGACAGCCATTCAATGATGATGCTAGTGGATGCCGGCCATTTCCTGTTGGAAAGCAATTATGTGAATAAAGAAAAGAAGAAGGAGCTCCAATTAAAGCACGGTGCCCTGCATTCAGCCGAGGATCTGGGTGAATTAACAACTTTGCTTTACGACCGGTTTACGTGCCAGCTCTCATCAGTGCAGGTACTTTCTCATAAGTGGTATCTTGTCCCCCCTCGTCTCACGACTTTGCGATCCGCTGTTGATTTTAGGTGTTGATTGGCCAATCATTAGACAGATGTTTGGAGGAAGCTCTAAGTGAGAGCCTCAAAGGGGAACTTCACCTGATCGAACGCGTAAACATGAGCTTCGTTCTCGAGATGTGCATCCTCCCAAAACTTGTTGATTTTGCTCGAATGAAGATATCTGGCAACCTTCCGAGATTGCATCTGAATTTATCGGATCGCAAGTACAAAGTAATGATGAGCATCGTGGATCTGATTACCAACCGCTCGCAGCCGATAGAGGACGGTCACTCCCAGCAACAAACAGAACCTGCTTCTGGAGCGCGTCCTTTACGCTGGAACTTGGTAGAAAATGAACCAGAAGTGGTTGTCTACGATGATGGCGACTCTTTCTATGACGCACCGGAGGAAATGGATGTGGACGCTCGGTCTGAGATGACGGATGATTCAAAGGATCGAGTTCTAGTGGATCTTAGATTTGATGTCAATCATGCATCCGTTTCCCTAATGAAATCCGAGAAGGACCCCCACTTACCGGATCGACCGCTAGCTGATTTGACAATTGATACGTTCGGATTGAATGTGCGCTCGCTAACACATGAGCTGGATGTCAAGGTGCGCATTCGTGCCGTGGTAATCGACGATAAACTACAGTCTGAAGAGTCGGAATTTCGTTATTTGTTGGCGCCAACGGTCAGTGATGACGCGGAGTCCATTACGAGCGATAAATCATCGGTGGATCAATTGATTCGCGTCCGATACCTGAGCATGAAGCCGACTAGCGCGGATTACAAAGGAATTGATCAATCGCTGGACGTTTCTTTCGCGGCTGTGACAGTGGTGCTGACAAGCAGCAGTGTCCTCATGTTGTACGACTTCATTCTTTCTACTTTCACCTCACCCAACGAGAACCCTCCAAACCACCAGCAATTGCAGGATCATACTGGGGATGCATCTGATGAGGATGCCGCGATCGCCTCAGGCAAAACGACCTCCTTATTAGTCAACGCAAACATGAAGAGTATCGCGTTCGTGATCAATCAAGATGGCCATCGCCTTGCAACAGCGCGATTTGGAGAGCTGCAGACCTCGGTATTAATGAAAAATAACGTTATGTCTGTTACAGGTGGGATTGGTGACTTAGCAGTGGTGGACGACGTTCAGAGAGTGGGAGATGGACGTCTTTTCCGCCAACTCCTGGAAATAGAAGGAGAAGAGCTCGCCCACTTCAAGTGGGAAACTTTCGATAAACTGTCGCCTCAGTATCCTGGGTATGATACGGCCCTGACGCTGAGAGGGTCTTCTATACGAATAACGTATCTGGAGTCTTTGCTGCACGAACTCATGGAATATTTCAGCAAGTTCAGAGACATGCACGTACTCTTAGAGAGTGCTCGTAAGGCTGCCATTGAATCTGCTCAGCAAATTCAAGAGGCGGCAGGTAAATTTCATTACGATATCGAGATCCAGAGTCCCATCCTCGAATTTCCGAAAACATCTCTCCAATCGAGGGACACGCTTACAATCTTTCCGGGCATTATATCTGCGAAGAATGTCTTCCAAACCGAGTTTGATGGCACTGACATCGATACGGTCACAGCAACGGTACACAACATGAAAGTCGCCACGTCGTTCAGCAAAGGTGCCGACGTTGAGCAACGACAGATCCTAGATAACGTAACTGTGAATGTCATCATGAAAACTGCTAATGGCTCTGATTCTTCCAGCATTCCCGATTCCACCGTATGTACCAGCAAACCTTTCGTCTTGTGAAGCCCTGTTCTAACGACTTATTCCCACTCTCCTTGGCAGCTTGATGTCACAGTCTCCGATGTGCGAATCAAGACTACGCAACGTCAATATTCGTTCCTGCTTGAATTGGGGGAATCTCTAACTCGCCTCGCGTCTTCTGAAGTGACCGAGCTACCAGAGGAGTCACAATTAGCGATAGTTGACCCGAAAGTCACTCCGTCGACCGTTGAACGTCCCAACAACCCACCTGCTGCTCGAGACATTAAGGTGACCATTCCTTCAATATGCCTCGAGATCTTCAGGACCAATCATGACGAGATGGACACCTCCCTTGCGCAATTCGCGATGAATAAAGTCATTTTTAAGTTTTCGGCTTCGAAGGAAGGTTCTTCGGAAGCCGAGCTGCAGGTGAGGACATTCTCCGTACGTGATACACGCCAAGAGAACCGTAATTTCTTCCGGGAGATTATGCCATCCGCCGGCCGCGATGAAGATCAATTGGTAGTGCATTATTCGTCATCCGAAGCGGGTAGCAATACAATTGCGACATTGACTAGTCCTACAGTGATCCTAATCCCGGATCATTTGTTTCTGGTGCGCGACTTCTTTGTTAAACCCCTGGCTTCGAAATCGAGCGAAGCTTCTGTTCAAAAGCAATCTACGGAGCTGCAGGAGACAGAACCCAGTAATGAAACCACAGCATCATACAGAGTGGATCTCATTGATATGGAACTAATCCTTCTTCACACGGCTGATGCTCCCTCTACGGAAGCAATTATTCTGTCGTCGAAACATTTGGCTGTTTGCCACGAGCATGTCACTACGGTCGGAATCAAAGAAATGGGAATGTATTTGTGCGAGATGGATAAGCGTGACGAGACTACTGTGCCATTTATTCAAGACTTCGACCTGACGCTGTCAATGGACAACCGAATGACGGCTCCTGGGCATAGTTTGAGCAACATCAATGTCGATCTTGCACCCGTTATGCTCAGAGTCTCTTATCGCGACATGTTGCTAATAACGGAGATCGTAACGGGGGTTAACACTCATTGGGCCGCATCGAATGCCGAAGGTTCCGCCGCCTCTGATACAAGCACGGAAGAAACCCAGGTAGTTTCAGCGCAAGAAAAGGTCATCATGGCGCGAGAAAGGGTATGTCAATGAATCTCGATGGCTCTATCGGTGTGATAGCTGCTCATTATTGCCACCCAGCTGCACGCGACTGTACAAGGATTCAGACTTGTGTTGATTGATGATCTCAATGATTTGCATTTACCTATGTTGGACATCATTATGGACAAACTCGTGATTGATCTGGCTGACTGGACGTCTACAGTAAGTTCGCATATGGCTCTCAGCAATACAAGCAAGAACATATACTAACTGTAATGATAGATGCGGTTAGAGACTGCTCCATCACTATCCTGCAACTACTTCAATGTCAAGAATTCTCATTGGGAACCACTTATCGAGCCGTGGCAGTTTTTCATTAACGTAAGTGTCTAGCATAACTCTTGAGATTGTATGGCATGTGTGGACTCCGTTGTAACGCACTAGAGGCGTGTCATAGCTTGGCCGACAATCTGCTACAGGAACGCTGTCGTTAGACGCATTCGCTAGAAAACGCCTCGAGGTCAACGTGACACACACATTTGTAGAAACTGTCCTAAGCACACTACACTTATGGAACAAGCAAGAAAGGGTACATGCAGCTTGAGACTGCACGTTTTCAACTATTGTATGCTGATTGAGCTCATCTACCCTGTCATGGAAATTCCCATGAATAGAGAGATCTCACCTCTCGAAGAGGCATGCACGCTCCCTACGTATTTCGAAATCGTACTGGTTACGACCTGTACGTCTGGGCAGACTCTGCGGATAGTGGCCTAGATACCGAATTGAAACAGCTTGCCAATGGACAAGATATGCAATGGCGGTTCGAGGATTGGCGAACCATGCGGGAGGTATGTTAATATTGACAATTGTCGCCAACCATTTGTGGGACTTATTAAGTCCAAAATTCATTCAGAGAACAGTCCCAATATCGAACAAAGTGTCTCTCCAGTTGAACGGTCCCTCGTGGGAGACTTTGAAGGGCATTTCATTGGACCGGGAGGGAATGAGAACTTACATCTTACGACCCGCAATCAATCGTGTAGTCCATCGACTCGTATGTGAAGTGAAATTGAAGGATAACGTTAAAATTGTTACATTCCGTTCCGGATTGGAGCTGCAAAATGATACTAGCGTGACTGTCGATATGGTGGTGGTGAACAGTAAGAAACAGCGCACGACTAATGTCACTACCATTGGTACGCAAATGTCTTCTCATATCTCCTCATGCATCATGCTAAGTGACCGGTTTCCAGTTCCGGGGGAAGAGTTTTATGTTCCTATTGAGGCGTCTTATTATGATATGGTGCAAGTTCGGCCACACGGTAAGGTCTTGACACCGATTCGTTCTTGCTTGTTGTTAATATCACATCTGCAAAAGGATTTGGATACGATTGGAGCACAGAGATCATCTTCTGGAAAGATCTGCAAAAACAGAAAGTCTGTGAGTATTAGTAGACCCAAAGTAGATTGCGATATTTTTACGGTTGCGCTAATCCTTTAAGGGTGGCAGCTCTAATCACTTGCCGATCCACTGATCCCACGGCTCCCGCGTTTCGATTTCAACTGAACTGTGTTTACACGCACGGTACAAAAGACAGGTATGCCTAGGAGTGCAAATGTACTTGCCGTGCAGTCTTCAAAGCTCACAAACATGTCGTGTCTCCAGCACGTATCCAATGATGACAGTGAAGCTATTGCCGCCATTTCAACTAGAGAATCTGTTACCCTACGATATGCGCTATTCTTTGCACGACAAAACTGCAAGGCAGCAGCACACGGAAGTTCTGCGCAAGGGGGATCTACAGCCTATCCACACGGTAGATCCTACCCATCTGCTCGCCCTGGGCGTCGAGATCCCGGACTCCGGTAAGTGTTTCTGTTACACAGTTCACACGCTACCGTTGTGAGGGTCTTCGGCTTAGTCTATCACCTCAGCTTATCGACCCAGCGAAGTCGCCATCATCACGAACTCTGAACTTGATTATCGCGACGAGACATTACGACTGGCTGATCCAAATGGGCAGCAGTTACTTTTGCGAATAAAATATCAGTAAGTTCGGCCCCCGCTTCTGAACGATAGGGCAAATATTTAATCACAACTTGAATATATTCAGAGATAAATTGGATATGCGCGGTCGCACAGTCAGCATCTACAGTCCATATGTTCTATTGAATAAGACGGGGGTGGACATGATATTCAGCACACGATCTTTGATGGGCGTCACACGCTACACAAGCCCTGCTGGTGAGTTTGTGCATTGTGATAGAAGAGAGCGAATCATCGCCAATGCTAATTCTCTATCTTCATTATCAGCAAATGAAAAAGAGGAGGTGCGGTGTACTACTCGTTTTTATGCAGTCAGCAAGCTAATCTCATCGTTATTGCAGGTCAAGCCTCTGCTTTTCTCCTTCCCGAATTTTGAACCACTTCGGTCGCGCGTGCAAGTCAAGGTTCTTCCAAACTCCGACTGGAGTAAGGTAAGTTGCCAAAACTGCCCTTGCTCCGTATCTACCGCACCAGTATGGTGAGCACTCACGTCGTCTGAAGCCCATTAGTTTCGATGCTGTGGGCAGCTCATTCGAAATATCTATATCCTCCTCGAAAACACGAACAGAAACACATATTGGGGCTACCATCAGAGAGGGAGAAGGAAAGGTAGGATTTTTGATACGATATTATCTGATATTTCCGACTAATGATGCCGCATCTCGATACAGTACTTCCTCACCAAAGTAGTGACCTTTGCCCCACGTTTCATTTTCAAAAATAACATGGATGAGGATATACAATTCCGGCAATTTGGCGCCACCACAACTAGTCATCTCCGCTCCCAGACTCAGACACCCTTACACACGTTGAACATGACGGAAGGACCGCAGACGCAAATGTGTATACGTCTAACGGGGCTCATGAATGAATGGTGAGATGGTGGTCGGAAGCGTGATCCAGTGCTCAGTGAACTCCAAACTCAGATTTTTCTAGGTCAAATCCATTCGATGTAACACAAGTGGGAAGAGTGTATGTTAAACTGGGTCGCATGAGTTCTCCTGAGCAAGATTTGGTCCGCACCGAAGTCTTAATTCAGGACGCCACAATATTCGTTATATTTGCCGGACGCGAGACAAGATGGCCCTACAGAATAGAGAATCGCACGGACGTAGACGTTGACATCTGGCAACAGGTCTGCCTAACCTGTAGAGCAACTCATGTAGCTAAGTCGGTTATTAAAGCTGCATTTCATCATAGGGATCGAAAACACGATATAGGATTCCCAAGGGCGAGGAGAGACCCTATGCATGGGATTACCCGTCAGCTCCAAAAAAGACACTAATCCTCAGTGCGAACGGACGCGAAAGAGAAATCGATGTATTGGAAATGGGACAGCTTGTGCCCTTCAAATATCCCGTACGATTGATTCTTCACTATTCCTTCTTCCCGATTGATTATTACTGACCATATCTTTGCCAAACAGGCGACTCCTAGTAGCAGAGGGGGAATCATGGCCATACACGTAGTCGCCGAGGGCCCTACCATTGTCGTCCGGCTCTCTCCATACGTTGAGAGCAAGAGCGCATTCAAAAAGAGCAGATCTAAGCCGGAATCCACTTCATCGGATGTTGACGTGAAGGAAACTTTCCAAATGGTTTGTGCTCTCAAGGATAGCAATCATGTCCATGCCCTTCCCAAATTTAACCGCCCAGTGTCGTACTACTCCAGAAAAAGAAGGAAGCGAACATGTTGATGGCAGTGCAAGTACGTCTGGAAGGAATCGGGGTGTCCTTAATTAATAAGGGGATGCAGGTGAAGTCCATGGTTTCGTTGCCATTGGATACCCCGGTATTAACATCATCATGCGTAATATTACAGGAGCTCCTGTATGCGTCAGCACGAAACCTGACATTTGCCTTTACGGACACTACGATGAATCAAGCGCTGAGCTTCAGCGTCAAGTGGCTACAGGTGGATATCTATATGCCAGAGTCAACTGAGTTTGATGGAGAGTCTAATGTCAGCTTTGTATTTAGATTGACAACCAACTCTATGAAGGTCTGGAGCCAATCTTCCTCTATCCGACGGTCATTCCAAAGGAAGGAGAGGAGGACTACCATCCGATTCTTATGACCGCTCTTTCGCGGTCGAAAGATCCCTGTATGTGGCGGAAATGATGTAAACGCTTGGAATGTTCATGATGCCTTATCCCGTGTAGCCTACGGCGTGGATTTCTTCGACTGGTTTACCATACTGCTCCAGGAACTCTCCGTGGACATGGACGAGGAATTCCTGGGTGCATTAATAAGTTTCACAAAGTTCAATGTACCAGGGTGGGATGAGGAAAAAAGGTTGGTATGGATAGCACACGTAATATGGCACAACTGGTCATTAATAATTCCCATCTATGCCTCAGTACGCTCTGCGACACGAGCATGTCAATACCAGAGCCGCCGCTCACACGGGACGACAACAAGATGTATTTTGAAACGTTCCTGCTTCAACCGGTCCAGATAAATGTATCCTTTGTCAGAACACAGACGGTTAATATCGAGGAAACGAGGTAATCATTTCCACTGATCGGTTTCAAGTAAAAGCTCGCATATGAATCCGTTGATACCGTAGACCAAGGCACCACGGTGTATTGGCATTTGTGCTCGATGTTTTGACAATGACACTGGGCAATATACATGTAAGTACAAGGTACCGCAATGTGTTGACGTTTGTACTGGAACTAAACCATGCTACCTTGTACAGGATGCCCCCCTTCGCTTGAATGTATGTACAGCCCTGCGCCTCTGCCGAAAATAAGAGTTGGTCTTCCCCTCACCTGCCTTCCTCTCTTACAGGCTCTAGAACTGAAGCACGCCAACGTTACACTCAACCAACTTGTGGACCTTATTGTGAGGTTTTACTCTCAAGAGCTTATTGGACAGGTACAGGTCTGTCGGTGATTTTCGCAGTACAATCACCACTAATCTCTGCTTCAGGTTCATAAAGTAATCGGGTCAGCGGATTTCCTGGGAAATCCGGTTGGATTGTTTAACAATGTCAGCTCCGGGGTTAGCGACTTCTTCTACGAACCTCTGCAAGGTTTTGAAATCACAAGGCCACAAGATTTTGGTATAGGTGTAGCCAAGGTTTGTAGTGAACTCGAATTGCTGATCTTACGAGCTAGAAGAGTTCAACATTTTGGTCACCAGGGTGCCGCCAGTCTCTTCCGAAAAACTGTGTTCGGAGTATCAGATACGTTCTCCAAGTTCACAGGCAGCATCGGCAAAGGTTTGATTGGATGAAGCAGAATCCTGATACCAATACTGGAAACTAAACTCTGTAAATGAAAGGTCTCTCGGTTATCACAATGGATAGTGAGGTATGAAATAGTATACTGTTTCGACAAGGTGTGGAGTGGCGTTGATGTCATTTTGCTTTCTTTTTTCCAGTTCCAACAGCGTCGTCGGCTGTCCAGTATAAGGTGAGAACAGCGTTTTAGTCGATATATGGCAGTTACTGAACTCGAGCATATGCCAGGAACCGCCCTCGACATGCTGTGTACGGAGTAACGACGGGTGCTACTTCATTAGCCAGAAGCGTAGCAAGTGGGATCACCGGAGTGGTGGTAGGTGGAATTTAGAGTTGATTTGCCACAAACAATACTCATGGCATGTTTGTCTTCCCAAAGTCCAAGCCGTTTGAAGGTGCTCAAGAAGAAGGTGTCGGCGGATTCTTCAAAGGTCTCGGCAAAGGCATAGTGGGGTGAGTAGCGACTTAATTGCCCTCTGCTTCTGCACGTCGCTGATGAAATTGCAGTGTTGTTACGAAACCAGTTATTGGTGTGATTGATCTGGCAACGAATGTTGGCGAAGGTGAGGACTGAATTCTCGCTTCATCTTTTTATCATCTGTTGATATCTAATAAGAAGCACTCTCTTGATTAGGAATTCGCAACACAACCACCGTTTTCGACACTGACCTCGACAGGCAAAGACTGCCCCGACATATCGGCAAAGACATGATCCTGACGGTACGAACGGAGCATCTGGTTTAACGATAGTACTTGTTTTCTAATTTGTAGCAGCCTTACAACCCTAGGGAAGCTCTGGGATTGAACTGGCTGAAAGGATTAGAGAGCGGACGATACTTTCATGAAGACTATATTGCGCACTTGGGTAGGTGTCCATTTCGTGTGCGCTTCTGGTGAATGGGCGGCAACCTAACCACTTATTCACACGCAGAATTGAGGATCGAGGACCTAGTGGCGATCGTAACAAATGTTCGCATAATTATGACGCGAATCAAAAAGCTGAAGATGGACTGGGAGATTCCATTCGAGGGTAAGTTGCTCTGATCTGATCCGGCATGTAAGAGTGGGAGAACTCACTTGTTTGTCAGAACTGCAACTCGTTCGACCTGAAAGCGGGGGCATTACTCTTATCAAGAAGAGTCGGCAGCACGCGAGAGCCCGCGTTATTCCATGCCCCGACGCTGCTAGTGCACAGGTGCGTGTGCGAACTTGGCAGAACTTTGGTCGTGATTTTATGCTCAAAACCATCCTTTCACTTAGTGGTTTTGCGGTATGCTGGAAGGCGCCTTCACCGACTTTATTGAGCAATACAAACCATATGAATAGTCTCAACCATCACATATTATACATTTTGTACTTAGGGCGATATTTCAAATTGTAATGCAACTCTCATGTGTCCCATTTTAATGCGTTTGTGACTCGCGTGTCCCACCCAGCCCAACGTTTTGATCATCGTTTTCTTTTCCATCAGCATGAGCCCAAAACGTGTAGCACTTTCTTTCACTGGTGGGAAGGACTGTACGCTCACTCTCCATATACTAGCCAGCAACTCTGAGCTGGTTGTTCCACTACTGGTGACTTTTGCGCCTACACCTAGCTCGTCGACGAAACCGTTCCTCAGTCATCCGATTCCTTTAATAAAGAGAATAGCACAGTCCTTGCAGATAGAGCATAGAGTACTATATATAGATGGCCCGGACTATATGAGCTCGTACGTCTCCCATTTCATCGCGTTAAAGGATGAAGGAATAGAGGAATTCGCCACAGGTGACATTGAGGACGTCTGTTCGGATTTCATGGTATTGTGCCAGTACGGTTCGAGTGAGTGAAGGTAGTGACGAGATTGATGCCCTAGTTATTGTTGTCAGGGTCGTGCAGCACGGCAAGCAGGACTTCCTCTCAACCGGCCACTTTGGCAGGTTCCGCGGGCGTCCCTTCTATCACAGCTCTACGATACTTATGCGCTTTCCTTTGTTGTCACATGTGTCAATACTGAATCAGTGCCCCTTGAACTTGCCCGCAGGATGGTAGGCAAAGTCTTGACCAAGGATCTCCTTGATGAAATCATGTCCCAAAAGGAGTGCGAAACGGTTGATGCTTGTGGGGAGTTTGGGGAATATCACACAATGTGTTTGGACGGACCACTGTTCAAACAGCGAATACAGCTAATGAAAGGTCAGCAAATGGTCGATGGAAACTTTTTGTACTGGAAATTATTCGAATAGACCGAGATAGATGAACGAACGAGTGACTGTTCTAGTTGTAGACCCATGCTCATACATTGTGATCTCTGCTAAATACACTAGAACGGGCTGGAGGCGTTGAGTCGTCCTAGTGAATTTGATATACTCTCTGGATTAACTCCCCAAGTGGGATGAGTTCCCGCAAAACAACAAAAGGAACTTCCAATCCGTAGAGTTGAGGTGAGCGCATTTGCAAAAAAAAGGCGATAATTTGATTACTACGTTGAGGGTTGGGGTATGTTTTGTGCAAAGGTATTCCAATCCATGGTAGGTACACCATGATCACTATACGCCAAGGATATGTCAGAGCAGTGCAAAACGAGGTCAAGTGAAGGCATAGCTTACGTTGCATCATTGTCCCCAATCAAAGCAATGTCGGCATTCTCTGAAGTTTCGACGACGATGCCGCCGGAAATCTCTAACAAGGTTCTTGCATAAGGTATACGAAATTGTTTGTTCTGGACGTTCCTCAGTTCCAGAAAAGATGGTGCCATGTAGAATCGTCGTCCTGTGGCACACAACAGTTGAGAAAGGTATTTTGGCAACGCAGTCAGCTGGTCACCTACCGGCAAAAGGTCGGTCAGTGCACAAGAATCCATACGCATTCTCAGGCTCCCAAGTTTTCCTGAAACAGGTTACGGTAAATGCTCCTGTACAGAAGCGGTTCAGAGCACGAGAAATTACTTATTTGCAGATTCCAAGACCCATTTAGGATTTGTTATGATCCACTTCCCAGTCAAAGCTGCTGCGAATGTTTTCAGCGTACGAGAGCCTGGCGCAGATATTACGTGCGCTGTCGTAAATTTATTACATTAGATTAGTGGAGACCACGGGAACCATGTTTGAAATACTTACTAATTCGTCCGTCCCATTCCGCCGCTGTTCAGAAAGACAAGACATTTCAGTATACGGTTGAGATTGTGAAAGGCTGCCGTCTCCTTACGGGCAACAGTGCAGGCGCTAGGTAACTTCTTGATTGCGCTGACAAGCTTTCGTTTCATCTCTGAATTGAATTCGGTTCCCTCTTTAAATCCGCTGAAACATATGATGAAGCGATAGGTGGATCTGGATCTTGCCGTTGAAGCCGGCGTGCTGATCGAGGTCTTTGCGTCAGTTAGACAGATATTAGACTGGCATTACCAGTTGCAGCGTCTCACCTGATGCGATGCACTCTGTGTCGGGGTTACTGCTGATGCCTTTCGAGATGCCTTAGGACCCGTGATTTCATGGCAGCCTCTCCAAATATACTCACCTGCGTACTAGCAAGTCTTCCTGGAGTTGTACTTGGTGAGATGCGTAACCTTTTGGCTGGTGAAGGACTATGGTCACCAGCTCGTTTGGGCGCGGAAGTTAATTCTACAAATGGTCGGGAGGGAGTTGAACTCTCTTTTCTCTGCACGTGGCGTGCTTCTAATTGTCCTTCTAACGCTTTGATACGGTCCTCCAGCGACTCGCAAAGTTTTGCACGACCAATACACAGGTCTTCAGCAGTCTGTCGCTGAATAGTTTCCGATGCCAACATGGCTCGTGATTCAGCTAGTTCGTTCTCCACAGCTTTGCTGGCCAATATCAATTGATCCCGTTCCTTCTGGACAATCACGAGAGTCGATTCCAAATCGTTTAACTTTATCTTGAGGGTCTCACATTCCTGTCGAAGACTATTCTCAATCTCTACGAGCGCCTCCTGAGAGTGCCTGAGTCGCCGCTCTGCTTCTGTTTTGTCTTCTGTTTCCTTGCGCAGAAGGTCCTGAAGGGATCGAGATTTAAGGTCCGCAGTGTCTATGCGAGCCCTCAATTCTTCTGTTGCCAGCGTTGTGTCAGTTAGCAAGCTTGTTTTCTCTGCTAAATCCCTGGTCAAGTCAACTATATTTTTCTTCAAGTTTTCCAACTCATCATTATTCTGCATTCGTGCTTGATCCAGTGCCAATGCCATCTCATCCAAATCGCCTTGGTAGCGCAGGCACTGTGATTTGAGAGTTTCCAATTCGTCATCCTTTGCAACAAGCAAGTCTTCATGTGTCCGTTTCAACTCATTGGCGTGGAGTTGGGCTTTGTCCATAGCCGCTTGCAACTGTATGAAGTCGTCCGTTTTCTCTCGAAGGGCTATTCGGACGTCTTCTAGCTCTGCCTCTTTCGCACTGATAGTGCTCCGCAAGTGTTTCTCTAATCGATCTGTCTCCACACGTACTAACGCAAGCTCGCGGCTAGCAGACTCAAAACTGTCAGCTTTGTCCCGAAGTTCCGCACGCAGAGTATCGACGGTGGCTTGAAGGTCGCTGATGACCGCGACATGTGCATCCTGCTCTGTGTCCAGCTCATTCTGCAAATGTATTTTCTCCTGCATGAGACGATCCGCAACTTCCTTGGCAGCACACACCGCCTCGGTAAGGGACTTGTTTTCATCATTTTTCTGCTGCAATTGGGTTCTCAATTCTTCAATCAGACTTTCACACTGAGCGACAGCTGCGCGAAGCTCGCTAATCTCTTTTTCAAGTTTTTCGTGGGATTCTTCCAGCACACTCACTTGTGTCTGCAGACATGCGTTTTGGACACTCAGACTCTCCTTCTCCGACAGTACATTAACCAGCTTCTTTTCTGAGTCAGAAAGCGATTCCTGTAACTGAGCAATTCTGCTATCAGATTGTTCTTTGCCCATCCGAAACTCCGTCAGTTGTCCCTCAAGCAACTCGGCTGCAGCGGCGATATCTCTTCTACGTTCCTCAGTGACTTCCAGCGTGCGCTTGAGATTCTGTTCCATTTCGCGCAGTTCGCCCACAGTCTGCTGATGCTCAGCTATTAAGTTGTCCTTATCGACCTCAGCCTGACTGATTTTTTCCTCGAGCAGTGTCACTATCCGTGTCTTTTCATCTCTTTCGATCTCAGTGGAGGCTAATGTTGCCGTCCATTCACTTCGGGCATGCTGATAGTCTTCGGCAATACGCTTGTTGGTTGCTGTACTTTCTGTGAGCTTCTCTTGCAGGTCTTTCAGGGCCAAGTGTAATTGGTCCCGCTCTGTCTGGACGGCATCCAGCTTTGAGGTCAATTCACTTAGGATATGCAGTTTCTCATTTAAAACCTGTGCATTGTCTGCACGTGTTGCTTCGAGCGTGTTCTCGAGAGTGTGCACCGTCGATTGCAGTTGCTCCTTAGTTGACTCTAGCTGCGCATTATCTGTACGTGTCGCTTCAAGCGTGTCCTCGAGAGTGCGTATCGTCGTTTGCATTTGCTCTTTAGTTTCCTGAATCTGCGAGTACTCACACTGCAACTCTTCCAGGGATCTTTTCGCGCACTGTTCGGCTGCGCGTAGGTCGTTCATGATAGAGTCCTTTTCTGCCTGTAGCTCTTTGTTCCTTTCGTCAAGGTTTTCGGCTTGTGAGCGCAGACCGTCCCTTTCGTGTTCCATAGCCTCCAAAGCGGATTTCAACTGCTGATCAGCTGCCATCTTGTCCTTTGCCATTTGTTCTTTTTGGGCTTCTAAATGAACGATCTTTTCCTGGAGCCATGTTGTTGTCATACGAGCTTGCTCCAGATCAGATTGTAATGTGCTCAATGTAGCTTCTCGAAGTGTGGATTCCGATCGTGAACGTTCTAGTTTTCCTGAGGTGGCTTCATTCAGAGCACGGAGTTCGGTGATGGTTCCTTCCAGTGACTCGATCTTTTGTCGTAAACCATCCACTTCGAGGTGAAGGGCCTCCATCATGCTCCCAGCTAGCTCTTTTTCCTTAATATACGCTGCTACTTCGCTTTCCAACTTTTCAACCTTCACATCCATGTCCGCTTGCACTCGGGCAGCCTCCTCCTGACTAGTTTTGAGGGCGGACGTCAAATATTTACGCTCGGCTTCCCACTGCTCCGAGACGCTTCGATGTTTCGTGTCGGACTCTTTGATTTGAATCTGCAACGCGTTGAGAATTGCCTCCATATCTGCAATCGCGGTGTCATGTACGCTTCTCTCGGAGATATATGTTTCGCGCTCAGAGCGGAGGCTCTGAAGTTCCGCCTTGAGCTGTTGATTCTCTGTGTGCAGCGATTCGGACAAGGTATCTCGCTCTTGCAATAATGTTTCTGCTGTAGCAAAAGCTTCCTGTTGTGTTTGCAGATGCTCATTTGTTCGTTTGAGCTCTGAATGGCACCGGTCGAAGTCCTCCTCTTTTTGAAGCAAATTCGCTTCTAATCTTGTTACTTTCTCTTCACTATAAATCAATTGTTTCTCCATTGCCTTCATCTCTGCGCGTATAGTAGTTTTTTCATCGTTATGTGTGCGGGCTAGTTGTAGAGATGACACTTCGTCACGAGACTCTCGCATTAGGTCACGATACGATTCTTCTGCTTCAACCTGCAATCTCTTTAGTTCGGATATTTCTGCATTGCGTTGGCTCAGCTCAAACTCCCTCTCCTGCTTCAGTTGGTCAATTCGCAATAACAGTACGCCCGTATCGTGCTTCCAGTCGGCACAAACAGAAGCCAAATGCTGATCGATGAAATACAGGGCAATTAAAAGATCACTCTCATCATCTTTAGATGATTCAACAGATTGACGGAAGGAGTCAAACGCAGTCAGCAATCGTGTTCGCTCATCTTGTAAAGTCGCAACTTTGGCTTTCAAGGTCTCCACCTCCAAATTTGTTTGCGGAAGGGTAGAAGCAAGCCAGTGATAGCTTTTGCCAATGACATCGAGCATACGTGATACCTCATCGTACGAGGGTAGATGTGCCTGTTCGGAAGTTGCATTTGTCTGAAGCTTTTCAATGCCCGACCGCCGTCTCTGAAGCTCATCCATCCTTTTCGCGTTCGACTCCATGTTGAGCAGTTCAGCAATTAAGTTTTGCCCAAGCGAGGTTAATCGCATGTCCTTATCGTCCTTAGGACGACGCTCTTCAGTCTCGAGGACCATCTCCAATGGTGGGTTAAAGATCTAGCCAGACGGGAGGTGGGATTCAAGCTCCATATCCATATAGCCTTTTTGGGATTAATGAATAGACACGCCTCCTAGACGCACTCAGTCTAACGTTGCGTTGCTGCTGGCTTGCATCCAGGCAAACTGTAATGTCAAGTTACTCCAACTGGAATACTTTTGAGGAGGAGGAGGAGGAAGAGGAAGAGGAGCAGGATGCATCCATAGAGGTCAGTTTATTATGTGAATGTCCAGTGAAGTGTTACAGGCGTTGAGCGTCCGATGCCAGGTCGACATTGCCGAGAGGGACAATGTCATTTTTGCTGTTGATGTATGTACCAGCCAACAAGGAGGCAGCGCATGAAATTGCCCTCTTGCTGAAATTGGGACTCGATAGGCAACTCTACCAATGCATGAGACTGACGAAAATGGAATCTCGCACTTCAGTGGTGCCCTTCGGTGTGCGGCCCGTTTTCTCCAAAATAAGATTGTGCAAAGCGAGTCAGATCTGATGGGACTGGTCTTCTTTGGAACGGTAAGCGAAGCCTCAAGTATTTAATTTATCTTTGGGTTGGCTCACAGTCATCATCAGAACGAAAGTCACAACGAGCAAGGATTTAAACACATCTACGTCCAATACGACTTGGATGTTCCAGATGTGGATCGCATTCTGGACCTGGAAAAACTTGCAAATAGTGCGTATTCAAATGCTTGCAAATTAAATAGGCAGCTAACTGAGACCTCTAATAGACAGAGATAAGGTCTCTACCGAAATCGGTAGCTCTGATGACTATTCGCTTGCTGAAGTCTTTTGGACGTGCTCCAATCTATTTTCTGCCGGGTTTGAGTCTATTGGCATTTGTATTTCAGATGTCGTACATATTATCTTATTCAAAGTGTTCCGCGTAGAGGGCAGAAGGTCAGCACGAAGCGCATATTCTTGATCACCCACAATGATAGTCCACATACCGGTAACCTAACCCTACAGCGAAATGCGAGGGTTCGTGCTCAGGTAAGGCGATGCTCAAGATGCATAATGTTGAGCCTGAGGAACCCTGAAGTGGTACTGCAAGGACTTGCAAGATCTGGGCATCTCTATAGAATTATTTCCTGTGGAAATTGGGAACAATAGCTTCAAATTTGACGTCTTCTTCCAGGTAAGATAAGTTGAAGTTACGCAGGCTTTTGTGATTATTGAGACGCCGTCGTGCAGGATCTTCCAGGAGTAGTCGGTGCCGGTGAGGATAGCGCCGAAGTCCCCGCGTCAGCTTCGCGCAAGTACGAGGAAATGCAGAAGAAAATCCTAAGGCGGGAAACGAAGAAAAGAACCACCTTCCGGGTACCGTTACACTTGCACGAAGGACTGACAATAGGAGTAAAAGGGTGCGTGTTGTCAGATACAGTTGATAGCTCTAATGATTTCGTGGTAGTGCTGATGTGTTTTCGCTGAAGATATAATTTGGTCCTGGAGCAGCGGAAAGGAAATTATACCTATCTGGATCGTCGAACGAATGCTGAAGTTAGAACAGTGACGACTTGGGCGTGCTCGGTAACGTTTGCCCATGAACTGGTGGACGGCAATCTCCAATGTTAATGAGAGACTCGTCGATTCGAAAGGCGACAGCTCAATCCTTGCTCCCCACTGATATGAAATCATACTGGGTGTATGGTGGTCAAAAGGTTGGTAATCTTATCCGCATCACGCGCCACGCCTTTATGCCAATTGTTGTTACTGAATCCATTCCGTTTCTAGGTGGTGTTCACCAAAAGTGAAGTGAATGGAATCAAGTACTTTGGCGATCCAGGTAGGGCGTATGCAACCTTGTGATACTTTTTTGTTACTTAAAGTGTCTTCAGGGCTAGTTCTGCTTGGATTTAAGGACAGGCATGCGCTCAAATTTAAGTATAATGTGAAGCATGCTGCTTTCATATATCCGGACGAATCGGTAGGAGATTGTAGTCACTGCCTTCTCTACCAAACTGCTCACAACCCTCTAGGAATACACGGGAAGTACAAGCGTTTTCGCGCACTTTTTGGAGAGATTGAGCATTCGAGGAAAGATCGCTATCTGTCGACTAATTGCTCGTCGTAATGCGGCGCCGCGATTGGTGGCTTTGTTGCCGCAGGTATGTCCGATGGGTACTATGTATGTGTTCGCCGGCTCACCAGATCCGCTCCGTTATAGAAAGGATGCGTTGATAAGAATGGCGATGAGATTCCTTGCGGTTTTCACGTGATCTATCTCCCGTTTGAAGACGATAACCGCAGAATTCCAGCTTCCACGGCCTCTCAGAGTATGGATACCTGCCGTTTATCGGCATTTCCTGTGTGGACCCTCATATCTTTCCTTTGATGCAAAATACATAGTCTCTCCGGAACACACGGATTTGGCGAAAGAAGTTGTCCATAGCCTCGTCATTAAAAACTACGTAAGAACCGAAGGTGGTGTCCGCCACGTAGCGCTGTCTAACCGAGCTCCCTCCCTGGGCATAGGATGCTGCAAACTACGAGAATCCAGGTGAGAGAATATCGATAGATGTTCATCAGTGATCATCCTTTAATGATGTGTTTCAGTCTTGCAGAAACATTATAACAACCTCCAGGCGATTGCTCTCCGGAGAGATTTTGCTGAAGAAATCGATGGTAGGAACGCTGGTCTGTTGTGTCACCTATCTACGCCTTTGCTTACTGCGTATCGAAACCAGATACTACCCTTCCTCGCACAGAAGCAATGCATAAGCGAGCAGGTGACAGAATTCGTGATTTCAAGCAGGCGCTCGGTGAACAAGAAGAGGATGAGGTGGTAGTGGAACAACCGAAGACAAAACGGGTCAAAGCAGTTGACGGTGGCCAAAAGCGAAGTAAAAGCGACGTAGATCTGAGCGAATCAGCATTTAGAGCCAAATGCAAGGATGGAAAGGTAGATATATCATGTTCAATCTTGTTGCAGCAGCATAAGATATTTATTTGTCTTGCTACAGTTATCGTCCTTCACGGTTGCTCAACTGTCGGAATTTCTACTCAGCAAAGACCGCAAACCAGCAAAGAAGAAATCAGATCTAATCAGGCAAATCGAAGAATACTTTGAAGCCTGAATTCTTTTGTCTGTATTGTCGACTCAATGCAGTAGTCTGTCGTAAATGCTGTTCTGATGGGTAATACAATCGCTTAGTCAGCAATATAAATCACGTGCATTGACATCCCCCCCGCGAACCAATTCAAGTAACGTTCGGATTGAGGCAGCTTGATCGCGGATTGCCAGTAAACGTACTTGCCGCGCACGGGGGACAACTTCGCACCTGCGATCCTGTCACTGACTGCTGCATCTGTCTTCCTTCCATACAGGGCTGGTGTGAGATCGCTGCTCCGTCTGAAACAAAATAGAGGCACCGGCGCGTACTCTCCCAAATTGTCGTTTGCTCGCATCTGCACTTCAACAGTCTGCGCTTGCGTCAAGGCAGAGTTAAACAGCACACGGTTGCTGCTATCCTGTCGTTTCGTTGAGGGTGCGCTGGACACGACGCGGGCGTTTGGCGCGCCTGAAGAAACGTATTGATTGGTCGATCTATGTGGTGAATGGAAATGGCGACGGGAGTGGATTCCAGGAAGCGAGCAGCGGATCAGGTGTTGGAAACTGATGAGGGGTAGGAAGTGTACAGCGCTCTCTGTGTCATATGCTGAGTCTAAATACTAATGTTAGGCGCATTCAAAGTAGTGCCGATATTCATGACGAGACTTCCGACTTCAAAGCGAAAAGACATAGATCCGCTGATTCCGACGAAATCGAGATGAATGACGCTCGTAATGGATATGAAAGCTCTGCACCATTAGTTACAGAAACAGAGGAGCACTTGCACCAGGGGAAGCACAACAACGTCCACTCTTCGGAACTACATCCTTGTACAACGCCAACGGCAAGCAGTAATAGAGAATTACACGGAAATGGCGATGAGGATGAAATGAAATTAGAGGGTGGGAAAATAAGCGACCCTTTGCCCTTTCGACCGTCGGATACTCCGAGCAGTGGTGGTCCAGTTCAATCTACGAACTCGTCCTCGCTGCCTTCCCCAGCTGCCATTTCCCGGCAAGGATCAAGGCAAGGAGAGGTAAGAATCTCTCGAAGCTTTCCCTCTTTCCCTCTTTCGCCTTGCTTATTATATCGGACTGGCTCGTATCGCATTTCAAAGGATGCATTCAATCCTACAGTGGGGGATGCATTGACTCGCGAACAGCTAAAATTCTGCGGCAACGTACTACGCAGTTTGAAGCGACTCAAAGACGCCCGACCATTCCTTGTACCTGTCGACCCAATCGCATTGAACATTCCGACTTATTTTGATATCGTCAAAACGCCTATGGATCTATCCACAGTTGAGAACAAGCTTCGGACTAACCAATACTCGAGTGCTCAAGAGTTCGTTGACGACGTACAATTGATGATTGACAACTGTTATGCTTTCAATGGTCGCGAAGCGCCAGTTGGGCAAAATGGTGTGAACTTGGAGCGATCGTTCCACAAATATATGGAGAAATTGCCGACTGAGGTTTGTTTTACCGTCCAAATTAAGACAACTGTCGTCTTAACATGCTACGATGTAGGTAAAACCCGAGAAGAATAAGAAGCGGTTATCCACCGCGGATTCGATGGTGGGGGTGAGTTCCTCTCTGTAGTGGAATGCCAGTAGTGTCTCGTGCTAATTTCGTGATCAGATTCATGTCGAGGGAGGAGGGGCAGCTACACCATCAGAAGCTGGGCGCCCTAAACGAGAAATACACGCTCCGTTGAAAGATATTCCGATTGTGACGTCAACTCCTTCTACGAAACACCCCTTAAGCAAGACTAAATTGGCAGACCGGGACATGAAGTTCTGTTCCGAAGTCCTTCGTGAACTGCATAAGAAGCAACACGCAGCGTATAACTTCCCTTTCCTCCAGCCTGTTGATCCACTTGCATTGGGTATCCCTCATTATACCGACATCATCAAAAATCCTATGGACTTATCAACAATCCGTCGGAAACTCGATGCCGGAGACTACCATACGGCCGAGGAATTCGAAGCAGACGCAAGATTGATGTTCAACAACTGTTATACCTTCAATCCTCCAGGGACAGACGTGTATAACTTTGGGAAGAAATTGGAGGAGGTCTTTGAACGGAAATGGAAGGAAAGGCCGCACGGTGGTTCTCCTGCTCCGCCGCGATCACAGCGTGCGTCGAAAGCGAAGATCAAGGCGCAGCCGGTAGCGGACGAGTATTCCTCATCCGACGATGATGATGAAGGTTGGTCAAGGTAGCTGTTTTGCCCCTCTACTTAACCAGACGGCCTTACTGTTTGTTCGGTTGCTTTAAGATACAGACGCTTTACAGCTCAAGCTACTCCAGCAGCAATTGCAAGCCATCACAACCCAAATGGCATGGCTGCAAGAAAAGCGGGCAAAGAAAAAACAAAAGCGCAAAAGCATGGCTACTATCACTCAAACGCCCTCGTCAGCCACCAAAGTCAAAGCTCCCAAATCGAAGACGAAATCTGCAAATCCCGGCGCAACAAGTAGAAGACCGTCTTCAAAAAAATCGGGTGAGAAGGCCAAGCCGCGGCGGCGGGTGGAGTATAGTAGCGATGATGGGGAAAACGGCGAAAAACTGCCAGAGCTTACATACGAGCAAAAGACCGAATTGAGCGAGCTAGTTGCTGAACTCCCTCCGGAAAGAATTGATAAAGTAATGGAGATCATCAGGAGCGGGTCGGCGTTACCAGACGTAAGCATAATTATTGTCTCTATTCGATACTCAAATGCACTCATTCACAATGCGACATAACTACCTAGACGATGGATCAAGGGGAAATTGAGTTGGACATAGAAGTTCTCAGTAAAAGTACTTTGTGGAGATTGTATAATTATGTCAAAGGGCATTCCGGAAGGGGAGTAGCAAGTCATCGTGCGCATAAGCCTCCAAAGAGTGGAAAACCCAACTCCAAGTCAAAGGGCCCAGGTGAATTCGCGCATGGTAATGTTTAATAATATTCAGAAACTAAAGGAAATTACTTCTGCAATATCTTCCAGTTGGGCTGAGTAGAGCTACCGATTCCTCTAGTAATGAGAGCGATTCTGGATCAGGTTCGGTGGACTCGGGGGATGACAGCAACTGAAGGATTTTTTAGCAGGCGGATTCCAGGCGAGACTGGTGAAGTGGACGCAGAAAGGATTTGCGTACGGATGGGCGCAGCGCGCTGGCAACAATGTATACCTGCTTCAACCAGTTCTTGGTACATCCATAATGGGATGCGGACCGAATATAGTGGGCGTACTTTTGAGATATCCGGAGCCGTCGTGTTGATCTTGTTGAGGATATCAGAGATTGTGTGTTATACTCATCGAGACACACAGAACGGCGCAGGTTCCAGTCACATGGCAGGGAACAATATTCCTTCCAGACTTATATTATAGGGGTTATGTTGCAATCTCTCGCATTGCTTGCTCAAATCTTGTGGATACGATGGGTTTTTTACTGTCAGGATCGTAGAAGGGATTTGAAACTAGATTGACGTAGGCGTTGTGTATTCTGCGGAACAACTGCGATAAGAAAGGTTACTTAGAAAGCACAACATGGAAAGCATATTGCCAACGCCAGCTGCTCACGTTTTTCATATCTTGGTCTTTGATGATGACGTCGGCCAGGCTAATCACAAGTATAAATTTGATCCGAGTGTTTGTTATGTACCCGAAGCTGATAGATAACATAAAAACCGGTCCATAAAATGCAGAGGAGAGAGGTATCTATTACTTACACAGCCAAATCCTCCATGGCGTACAGAAGTCCCAGGTATTGGTCAGTATGCTTTGCCGCTGCACTAACTTCAGTTGAAAAGCTCGGTCAGTAGTCAGTCTTCAAGTCGTATACGGCGTACACTATGCTCCATTACGCACTTCTTTCTTCAATTATATCAATAGAGGTATGTGCGATATAGTGGTACTTCAAGTCTTGGTGAGATTGGCTGAAGTTTTTTATGTACAAAGGATTATTCTGAACAACAATCGAGCGATTAGTCGCGTGAGTTTGCAGAGCAGCGGGTATGGAGAGCTGCAAGGCAGCGAGTAGGTACCAATTTGCCTATGATTGCTATACAATTTACGCTGAAGTTCATTGTGATAAAATTGGACGACTGGCGAAGGATGGTCGCAAGCGAGAAGAGCAATGGATGGAACACGGCCACGCCAAAGGTCTGCGCCACTTGGTTACGTGATCCTCAAATTGGGCGAAACCAGCGACAAGGTTAACTCTAACCTTTTTCCCACGCATCTTCCTCCCGCATGACTGCCTCTGCGGACGAGCGGCTAAAGTACCTACCCACGAAGATAAAGAAGCATAGATATGAGCGAAAACTAGCAAAGGCAAAGGCAGCGGCGAGGTCAGGTACGTGGTCCAAGAACGGTTAGGCATAGCGATACTTTACTCTTAGAATTCTGAATAAGTCCCACAACCCCAGAGCTGGACAGTTTTGGCTGGTCGAAACATTGTTTTTCCACTCGCAGCTTCTTAGTATGCTCTAGGGATTGCGTTGAGAGAATAAACTACGATGAAGTATCAGAGGAAGAATTTATACGACGCTTCGAAGAGCCTGCCATTCCCGTTGTCATCGAAGGAGCCACAAGGACTTGGCCTGCCGAGAAACGATGGTGCCCTGAATCGTTTTTAGACACGTACAGAGAAGAGAAGTTTAAGGTGGGAGAAGATGACGACGGCGATCCGGTGTACCTACCGGTAAAGTACTTTATGCACTATGCTCTTGTGTCCGGAGAGGCAGCCAAGGACGATTCGCCACTCTATATCTTCGACAGCACATTTGGAGAGCGGAAGTACAATAATTCTGGACGGTCTAAACGTAGACAAAAGAAACAAAAATCAAAGCGAGCATTAGAGGGTGAAGATTGGGATAGCGAGAGGAAAGAATCACAACCTACGTGCAAACTTCTAGAAGATTATGAAGTTCCAAAATATTTTCGCGATGATCTTTTTCGATTATGCGGTGAGCGCCGCCGACCCCCGTACCGTTGGATGGTGGTCGGACCAGCGCGGTCTGGGACTGGTATACATGTGGTAGGTACCCCCCCCCCCCCCCCCGTGTTTAGCCAGTTCATTTGATTTGCGCCAACCTCTCAATTTGCAGGATCCACTAGGAACAAGTGCCTGGAATGCGATAGTATATGGTCACAAGCGCTGGGTGCTGTTTCCGCCGGGGACCCCCAGAGATATCATTGAACCCGCACATGTGCCAGATCATGAAGCAGCCAGCTGGTTTGCACACGTGTATCCAAGCATGGAGGCACGAACATCTGATGGAAAGACTTTAGGCGAACGTTTAGGAATGAGAGAAATTATTCAGAAGCCAGGAGAAACTGTCTTTGTACCAGGCGGCTGGCATCACGTTGTCATAAACTGTGGTAAGTGCTCTTATTCCATTTGCAAACGTGCAAATCTGCTGGGGACTAAGTATCTGTGAAGACTTTACGATTGCCGTTACGCAGAATTTCTGTTCAAGAACAAACTTGGAAACCGTTTGGCTACACACGAGGTATTCTCGTCCACGGTTGGCAAAAAAGTTTACAACTAGATTAGAAGAATTGTCTTCCTCTTCTGAATTCTATGCGAGACTGAGAGAGCGCATTCGTACCTTGGAGACTGTTCCCGCAGTGCCTCCCGATAGCAGTAGCTCTAGTGGCTCAAGTAGTAGTAGCAGTAGTGGAAGCGATGACACACTCTCTGAGAGTACGGATATGGATGGTAATTGCCTTTGCCGTTCATGCAAACGCAAGAGAAAGAAACCACTGCCAAGATGACCATATAAATAAATTGTATATCAAAGAATAGTGAAATTACTTTCGCGAATGTGATGACCACTCTTGCCAGCGCCGCCAACACCGCTTCGCCAAATGGATAGGAGCCCCGCTCCCCACCACGACGATATATGTGCGTATCAGTTTGGCCTGGCTACCATTTGACCAGCTTTCAGCGTATTTTTTTGCCAGCTCCATCTGAGGTCTAAAGAGTGTTGCCATATACTCCTTTGCTGCGAATGCACGCGAGCCGATTGATTGCGTAAGATCAATCTGGACTGTTGTACTGGCAATGAATGAGTGAACGGTCTTTACTGAAAGACGATGGAAGATTCACCTTAATGTGGAGTCGCTTGTTTGTGGTGTTTCCTTCATATTCTGGTTCATCCCTTCGATATGCCGTGTTGTTTCCTCAAAATCGTGTGATAGTATGAGATGCAAGTGATCATTTTGCTGCATAAAGCGCCATACTATTAATGCTCGCCATCCATAAAAGGAGCACTACAAGGTCATATCTCTACGCACGCTGTCATCTCCAGGAGGTCGTTTCGCAAAACATATCAACTGCACTTTGGGTTCCAGATTCTTTCTTCTCCTTTCGTTCGTCTGTAGGTGTGTGTTATTACGCATATGAAACCGGCAAGACAGCTTAGTTCTCACCTGCTTTAAAGTTACAAAGCACATTTCATCCCAGCGTTCTCTTGTGTTATTTGGCTGGTGGCCTCTACTGGATGAGAACAGCAGCCTGTGAAAAACACTCTGCATGCGAGTTGCTTGCGCTGCATCTTGCGGTTCGGATGGTTGGGATTCGACGGGAGGGGAATTTGAAGGCGGATTGGGGGAAGAGGATGGAAGGTCTATGTAACTTGATTCTGTTTGGGGTGGGGAGCTGTGGGGTGGTGAACGATCGGGAGACATGTTGCCTCGATGGTCGTCGGGGTTCGCATCATCTCCAGCAAAGCCAACCATCGACAAGCGTGACTCTTGCTGTGCCACGGAACGTCTTTGTTTATCAACGAGGACGAGGCCGAGGGACGCCCTTTTTTTTGACGGGTGATGCATGGGATCTGCTACCGGCTATTGCAGATAAATACATCGTTTCCGAGATCTCGCTACACCTGTTCTGTGATTCAGAGGAACGTGTCCTCTTCGCTATTCTGTGGATTTTTCATTAGGAGCTCACACAGCGCAACCAAGATGACGGTGGATCTGGAATGGCCCGTCTCCAGAGTGCGACAGACGTATATCGAATTCTTCACCCAAAAGCACCAACACACCTTCGTTCCCTCCTCTGCCACAATTCCGCACGATGACCCGACACTCCTGTTTGCCAACTCGGGTATGAACCAGGTTTGTCGAGTCGCGCTGCTAATCTGCTGTATTTCTGGATATTAACGAATGGTTGCGTCCTTATAGTTCAAACCCATCTTTTTGGGTACTGTTGACCGGAACTCTGACTTGGGAAAGCTCAAGCGCGCTGCCAACACACAGAAATGCATACGTGCTGGAGGAAAGCACAATGATCTCGAAGACGTAGGAAAGGACACTTACCACCATACCTTCTTCGAGATGCTTGGAAACTGGTCGTTTGGTGACTACTTTAAAAAGGAAGCCATTGCCATGGCCTGGGACCTTCTCACCAACGTGTACAAGTTGCCCTCGGATCGCCTGTATGTCACTTACTTTGGTGGAGATGAGAAAATGCGGTTGGCACCTGATGAGGAGGCCAGAAAATTGTGGCTGGACATTGGTGTTCCTGAGGACCACATCTTACCCGGTGATAGTAAAGATAATTTTTGGGGTAATAGAACATGTATATCCATGTCCGATTTTCAAAGCTTAACTGGTGGTCTATTTACAGAAATGGGTGATCAAGGTCCCTGCGGTCCATGCAGTGAAATCCACTTTGATAGAATTGGCGGGCGAAATGCTTCACATTTGGTCAATCAGGACGATCCGGATGTCCTGGAGATTTGGAACCTCGTCTTCATGCAGTTCAACCGTGAACCTGACCGATCCCTAAAACCTCTACCCAACAAACATATCGATACCGGCATGGGCCTGGAGCGACTCGTTTCAATTCTACAGAATAAGCGATCAAACTATGATACGGATGTCTTTGCAGGGATCTTTGCTGCTATTCAGAAGTTAACTGGTGCGAGACCGTATGCAGGACGGGTTGGGCCAGACGATGTGGATGGAATTGATACCGCTTACCGTGTCGTTGCTGATCATATTCGCACGCTCGCATTTGCCATCAGTGATGGAGGGGTCCCTTCCAATGAGGGCCGTGGGTACGTCCTGCGACGGATTATCCGACGTGCTGCTCGCTACGTCCGCAACAAATTTAATACACCGATTGACGGTTTTTTCTCCCGGTTGGTGGATACTGTGACCGCTGAGATGGTACGTGGCTTGTCTCAGTAGTTCTACAATGAGCCTAGTCACTGAACCCATTTTTCTTAGGGTGAAGCTTTCCCGGAAATCACAAAACGGATTGATGATCTGAAGGAGATTCTTGACGAGGAAGAGCGAAGTTTTGCTAAGACTCTTGACCGTGGGGAGAAGCTCTTTGGAGAATACCTTGCAAAGGCTCGTTCTGAAAATGCTAGTACACTGAACGGGGCGGATGTCTGGCGGCTTTACGACACATATGGATTCCCTGTCGATCTGACCAGACTCATGGCCGAAGAAAGCGGATTGCAGGTAGACGAGATGGAGTTTGAGAGGGCCCAACAGGCTGCCAAGGAACGATCAAAAGCGACGGGTTCCAAAGATAAAGGGGACGTGGTTGCACTGAACATCCATGATTTGGGAGAGTTGGAGAAGAATCCTGACGTGCCGAGAACTGATGATCGTTACAAGTATGGTATGTAACTTTTGAGAACCGTGGCACTCTATGATTCGCAATTTTGAAGCTCGGCAATTAGGCACTGATGACATTCAGGCCACCGTCAAAGCAATCTATGCCGATGGCAAATTTGTAAAGTCTGTTGCGAGCGAGTCATTCACCCGACGATTCGGTATTCTCCTGGATAAAACCAACTTTTACGCCGAGCAGGGTGGACAACAATACGACACTGGCTCCATCACTGTTGACGGTCAAGCGGAATTCGCGGTAGACGATGTCCAACCGTTTGGAGGTTATGTACTTCACATTGGCTACCTCAAGTACGGTAGTCTGTCTGTGGGTACGGAGGTGGTCTGTTCTTATGATGAATTGCGAAGATGGCCCATTCGTAACAATCACACCGCAACCCATATCCTCAATTTCGCGCTAAAGAAGACACTGGGAGATGTTGTTGATCAGAAGGGCTCATTGGTTGCACCGGAGAAACTTCGTTTTGATTTCTCGGCAAAGAATGCACCAACGATAGAACAGTTGACTCAGATTGAAGATATTTCCAACGAATTTATCAAAAAGAACCACAAGATGTTTACAAAGGATGTGCCATTGCATTTGGGCAAATCTATTAATGGACTTCGTGCTGTGTTTGGAGAGGTAATCATCGTCTTTTCTGGTCTGCGCAAGCCTGGCTGTTTCTGGATGTTAACCCGACCAACCTATAGACGTATCCTGATCCTGTCCGAGTCGTATCAATTGGCTTTGACGTTGATGAAATGCTCAAAGACTCTGCCAATCCAAAATGGTCGGAAACGTCCGTTGAGTTCTGTGGAGGAACACACGTCAAGCAAACTGGCGACATAAAACGCTTTGTTATTTTGGAAGAAAGTAGCATTTCGAAGGGAATCAGGCGAATTGTTGCAGTCACTGGAGAAGAAGCATTTGAGGTGCAACGATTAGCCGACGAATTTGACCGGAAGATTGCGGATTTGAAAGGATTGCAAGGTTCAGCTTTGGAGACTGGGCTCAAGACGACTGGAAAGGATCTTGATGAGGCTGCGCTACCTGTATTGCGAAAGCACAAGCTCCGACAAACGTTTGCTGCGATCAAAAAGGAGTTTGATGATCAAGACAAGGCGCGGAAAGCAAAGGAGATGAAGGAGGCTGCAGAGCGGGTGAAGACCTACTTTGACCAGAACCCCGACGTACCGTTTTTGGTTGAAGTTCTTCCATACGGTGGCAACACTAAGGTGAGACATTGCAGCAGCGACTACCGAGTTGGATCGTCGGTACTAATATCTTGTTTTAGGCACTTGCCAAAGCCATTGAAGCTGTCAAGGGACTAAAGACAAAGGCTGCCATGCTACTGACAGTTGACGCTGAATCAAGCAAAGTATCGTACCAATGTATCGTGCCCAAGGTGAGATTTTTTAACATATCGAGTATCTCAAGTTTTGTTACTAACCCACTTCTCTTAGGAATATGTTGATAAAGGACTGAAAGCGACAGACTGGGCAGATGTGGTGAGCCAAAAGGTTGGTGGCCGAAAGGGTGGTAAAGATGAGTCCGCCGCAGGAGCCGGAACGGACCTTGCTGGCGTTGAAGAGGCCGTGTCTCTTTCCCTAGAGTTTGCCCGACTACGTCTCAGTGCCTAGAGACCTTGTTAGAGGACTTGACCTGATACATATTGTTTTCTTAAGTACTATTTGATTTCTTGAATTGGCCATGCCTGCAGCAAACTGCACATATAATGTCATTCCTCCAATCTTCAACTTTTTGCCTCTCAGCACTTTGTATCACGTGACTACATTCAGACTTGGTTCAAAATGCCAAGCGCGATGGTGTTCGAGTTTGAAGGGAATCATGTCGTTTTTACGGAACCTCTTCCGAGGCGTTCAACATTCTCCAACACCCGTCTTCCCTTCTGCAAGCTACGTCTCGCTCGTTTGGAAAGCCAACGAGGAATGGCTCGCCCACTGCATCAAGCACCCGCTATTGGATGGACTAACCAACACAAGGGTGCACATACTTGGAACATCTCTCCTCAATCTCCCATCACGAGATGTCCAGCGCGCGATATCAAATTTGAAGGGAAATCTTGGATGGATATGTGTCGATGAAGCGGAGGAGAGCGCAATGTGGCTCAACCGATATGCCGCTATACTCAAACAGGGACACTTTCAGGATCTGGAGGAGCGAGATGGGAATGTGGAAACGTCCCTGCAGGAGGTCCGAACGTGGGTCGAACGCAAGCGAGGTGAATTTATGGACGCAGGTGTACCGGACGAATGGATAGATGCATTGGAGTCGACTGGTCTCCGACCTGGCTGGGATACCATCGAGGCTGTCGAGCGAGGCCAGCAGGAAAGATTACCTGTAGAGTTCATTGGTATTGGTCATGCCGAGGAAACTTCACGGTACTTTTCGTCCTCTGCAAAGATGGCAAGTATGGATCCGAATATAACAGAAGAAGCACCCACCGTGGATCTCCAGTCGGAGCTTCGACAGTTGTTTCACAAAGTGGGAGTATCGCTTGGGGACATGAAAAATATCAATACGGGTTCACCGTTAGCAGACAGTCGATTGCAATCTCTGGTGCTAGACCCAAAGGGACTGGCTGCATATCATAAGATTATCTCAAAGCATTTAATGGGCATGCATGGAGAAGCGGGACGGCGTAGGCAGGAAGGGGAAGCAAGGAAAGCTATCAAATGTGAGCGTATTATTGAACGGCTAAAGGACGTATGTGAGGAAGTGGGAGCACAAAGGGAAGGCGTAAATGTGCTAGCTGTCATTGATAGAAATCATGTGGAAGGTGTAAGAAGGCTTTGGGAGGAAGGAGATGACAATGATGATGTAGAATAGTTTTATTGCATTTGTAGATAATTTTTCAAGGAAGACTGCATTAACAGCATTAGCAGACATTTGGCGAATAGCTTGCCAACGACAATGCCATGGCTGATGCCTTGCGCCCCCCGTTGGCTTTGAACCAAAGGCGAGCTTCCACTTCCGCCCCACCCCTCCCCAGCAAAAGATCCCTAAACAAAAGAAAACAAAAAGGGCCATTGCAAAACGCGTTGCCAAATTTGGACAAAAAAATCTAAGTCCCAAACTGTGTGGGCCTTTTGATGTGAGCGACGCGGGGACTTTGCCATTTTGTTTTTGTTCTTTGCCCACACGCATTTACCTAGCACGAACTGCTGCTATTTAAAGAACGAATCTCAGTTCACGAGCGTTTCCCTCCAGTGAGAGACTTTTGGCAGTTCAAGTAAGATCTGCTCAATGCCCTTTTTTCAGCGATGATCTATAAGCTTATTTAACGCGACTGCAGTTGGTTCACACCTTACGCAGCAAGCCCGCAAAACGACTAGTGTCGTAATGTCAGACAGCGAGGACGATGTACCATTGAGAGTTCGCCGAACAGTAGCCGTAAAAAAGGAACCTGGCTCACGACCGTCAACCATTGACGATGGTGACAGCGATTCAGACGTGCCTCTTGCGCGACGCAAAAAGACAAGCGGTGCAACTGCTGGAAAGGCTGCTTCAGACGCCAAGAATACCCAAAATGGAAGAGGTCAGGGTGAGTAGGTGCCAACCTTCAGCCATGCCAAGGCGAATGACAGAACCGTCCTTTATGTGGACGCGAGGTCGATTTATTTACTTGACTTGGGAATAATTTTGGTGTCATCCCATAGCTGGCTCGAAAGCACCGCCGAAGAGATTAAGTAAGGAAGTGGGCTCAGACAGTGATTCCGACGTGCCTCTGGTAAGTAGTAGCAAGCCAGGTATCAGAGGTGCGATAACCATGCGATGACTGACCGAGGCTCTCGCGTGTCTTCAATAGTCCAAAAGGGTAAAGACAGAACGTCCTGGGAAGAAAAGTCCTGCAGTAAAGCAGGAGAAGACAAATGGAAAGGTATAGCCATTTAACGAGGCTATCATCGTTTTCCGTTTCCCGTTACTTACGACAACCTTAGGTGACGCCGAAGCGTAAACGGGCCGCCCAGTCAGCAGATTCTGGTGCCGAGATGGACGACAAGAAAACACAGAAGAAATCACGTAAGCGGGAAGCATCAGCCACCGCTTCGCCCGGAAAGAAGACCAAGGAAGAAGAGGAGGACGAAGAGGAAGAGTACAAATGGTGGCTTGACCAGGAGAAAGACAATTCAATAAAGTGGACGACATTAGATCACAATGGTCCTATGTTTCCACCTCCTTACGAGCCGCACGGTGTCAAGATGAAGTATAAGGGTGAGTTTTCCGTTTTCAACGGTCGCGTCGTCATTGGACTCTGTTGATTAATGGTTGGTTGAACAGGAAAACCCATCGATTTGGAACCGGAAGCTGAGGAGGTGGCCACTTTCTTTGCTGGAGTTCTCGGCACAGATTGGGGAGACAATCCAATATTCCAAAAGAACTTCTTTGCAGACTTCCTTACCATACTGAAGCGACAAAAGAAGGTATCGAGTCGGTTGGCTCCTCTATCCTACCTTTTGGGAGAAACTTACTGGCGTAAGACAGGCTTCCCCTATCAAAGAGTTCAGCGAATGCGATTTTTCGCCGATCGCAGAGCACTTGCAACAAGAAAAGGAAAAAAAGAAAGCCATGTCCAAGGAAGAGAAGCTGGTGGGTTTCCCGGGCATGCTTTTTTGTATCACTTGCTTACTGAACAGGTGTGGCCTATAGAAACTAAAAGAAGAGAAGGCTAAGCTGGATGAAAAATATGGGTGGGCATATCTGGATGGACGCAAAGAGAAAGTTGGAAACTATCGAATAGAACCTCCTGGGCTCTTCCGTGGTCGTGGAGAGCATCCTAAGACTGGTACTCTCAAGGTATAGAAATTTTGACCTGTGGTCGTACGAATTCTATGCGAAAATAGCTTACTCAATATGCTTCCAGCTGCGCGTCCAACCCGAGCAAGTCACGATCAACATTGGGAAGGATGCACAAGTACCAGAACCTCCCGCAGGGCATAAGTGGGCTGATGTCATTCACGACAATACAGTTACCTGGCTTGCCATGTGGAAGGAAAACGTCAATGAATCTATCAAATACGTGTTCCTCGCAGCGACATCATCATTAAAAGGACAAAGCGATATGAAGAAGTTTGAGAAATCGCGAAATTTGAAGGTGAGCATGCGAAGGGTTGCGACTTACCACTTTACACAGGTACACTTATCCCTCTATACAGAGTCACATCCACAGAATCCGTAAAGACTATACTGCGGAACTTAAAGACAAGCAGATGGCGATCCGACAGAGGGCTACGGCCATGTACTTGATTGATCGTCTCGCTCTTAGGGCTGGTAACGAAAAGGGCGACGATGAGGCTGATACAGTCGGTTGCTGTTCGCTACGATTCGAACACATCAGTTTAGAGCCCCCAAACAAAGTCATCTTTGATTTCTTGGGTAAAGATTCTATCCGATACTACAACGAGGTTCAGGTGGATGACCAAGTATTCAAGAATCTGAAGTTGTTCAAAAAGCCGCCAAAGACCGATGGTGATCAGCTGTTTGACAGGATTAACGTGAGTTTGCTCATTTTTCTGATCATATCTTGTCCGTACACTGTGATGGACCCATTTCATCCATATGCAGACGGGAGTTCTCAACAAGCATTTGACCACCTATATGGCTGGACTCACAGCAAAAGTATTCCGTACATACAACGCGTCGCATACTTTCCAAGAAGAGCTGAAAAAGACTCCCGTGGACGGCACCGTAGCCGAGAAGGTCTTGGCGTATCAGCGCGCCAATCGACAGGTTGCCATTCTTTGTAACCATCAGCGCGCTGTATCCAAAGGACATCATGGCCAGATTGGTCGCATTCAAGACAAGGTATTTGCCGACTTTGACTGTTGCAATCCGGATGTGCAAGTGCTTACCTCATGCACAGATACGCGCAATCAAGTATGAGCGCTTGCTTGTAAAGCGAGAGATGCTAGATCTCGATCCCAAACTCAAGAAAAAGCGCCCCGAACTCGCACAAGACGAAAGCGATATTGATGATGAATTCATTGAAAAGCATAAAGTATTCCTGGAAGAACAGGAGAAAGAGAAGGCTAGAAAGAAGCTAGAGAAAGAAAATGAGAAGCGGGCGGAGCAGGGTAAATCTCCTCTTACCGAAGCGCCGATACCAAGGAAGTCGGCACTCACGATGGAGAAATTGGAAAAAAAATATGAGCAACTTACTGATCGCATCAAAACGCAAAAGATGTTGTTGATAGATAAGGTTTGAATAATGATGAATTGCGTGCGCTTGTGGGCTGGGACTAAAAGATTTCTTCCTTCAACAAGGACGAGAACAAGACAACTGCGCTCAGCACATCGAAAATTAACTATATAGACCCGCGTATATCGGCAGCGTGGTGTCACAAGTATGATGTGCCGTTGGAAAAAATTTTCAACAGAACTTTGAGAGAGAAGTTCAAATGGGCGCTGGATGTCGACAAGGACTGGGTTGGTATCTGCTTTTCTTGTATGGAATTACGTCAAAATCACTAATGGGTCTTTACTTCACAGCAATTTTAGTATCTACCGACGTGTGACATTTCTTCAGTAAATACAATAGTAATGCTGGTGGATGCAAGGCAGAGAATGACGTCTCGTCGGTCATATTTAAGTTGCGTGAAAACAGAAACATTTGGGAAAGGTTTCATCCCACGCTACAAAATCATAGCCCGAATGCACACGGAACCCTTCTTGAAAGTTTAACAACACATCCAAACAGTCAACTGGAAACGCTGCATGAATCAAATCATCCCGGTGTTTATCCCACTCCGGCTTATGTTGGATAGCCGGCGCATTAGACAATAACTGTACAGCTGGTTCTTGTGGCGGCACTCCATTGAGAGCCTTGACACACCAAGCAACCGAAAATCCGATGCTCTCCAAGTCCTGCTATGCTTCGTCGTTGTTGCACGCCAGCATCCACGATGCTGCAAAGTCAATATTGAGGGTCCGCTGGATTCCCGACAGTTGAAGTCTTTAACAGTTCCATGGTCCTGATTGGGGGTCTGTTGCACACAAGTGGAAGCTGGAAGTAAACAGGTATATATAGGTCCCAATTTACCAGTTGCTGTGCAACATTTTCATTATCTATAACCAGTTGCCTGCATCTACTAGGGCCTTGCAATGGGCCTTGCAATACTACAGCAATGCATTTAATCAAATTATTCAGTACAGGGTCTTCAATTCCTATGCATCCCATTTGCCTCCCCCAAATCCCAAAGATGTCATACCATGGAAGGAAGTCATACCTTGCCCACAGAAGCTGTACCTCAAACGATAGCACGGTGATGTGCAAACTCTGGCAGGAGCAGTTCGACGTTGCACGCGCATCGAATAGGAGTTGTAAAATGCATGTGTTTGTCTAGCTAATTCACAACCCACCATAAAACATATGTGAGCTTGGACTAAGAATGAAAGTTGAGATTCATATCTCTCCGCAGTTCATGTAATGCCAAAGTTGCCATAAAATTCACTTTGCTCAGGATTGTACGGGATTGTGAAGCAGACACATCATTCGCTTGCAAACTGCAATCTGCATAGGGTAGATCTGATCCGTGACAAATGCACGACAATTGGTACATCGAGAGGAGCGAGCGTTGGGCACACCGCCTTTCAAATCACAAGGCAGACTGTCAGGAACTTTGCTACCACAGAGTCAGAACTTTCTGACCCCGAAAATGAGACTCTTTGCGAGTCCTACTCCAAGCTGTACTTGTTCATCCGGCGCAGTGAATTCTCTGACGAAGGCATAGAGCTTTGTTCGGGTCTTTTGATCAGTACTTCAAAGGTTAGGGGAGATTGGTCATAGTCCTGACACTTTTCCTCAAGTGGTTTTGCGAAAAGCCAATCTCGTCTCCTTTGAGTGCGGTAATTCCCGTCGCTTTCAAGCGTTGGAACCAACCTTGTCGTCCGCTCTGCGTTTCTCAAGCGGATTGGTCCAGATGGAAGCCGAAAAGTTAAGGCGGACAAGACGAATGGAGTGTTCAAACACCATTTTGCTGACTAAATTTCGATCACGGACATGACGCGTGCCTTTCTCCCTGGTGCTCGTCACCTAGCATCTTTCCCAAACTTTCTAACGCACGGCTCACGCGCTCAGACGTTCCAAAAGCGGAGTAGATATGGAGAAGAGATTGTACGGATGGCATAACGGTGTGCCTCAATTCCGGGGCGATGGCGGAATGGATGGGGTGGGACCTGAACAGCACAGTAACTTCAGTGGACCTCGATTCGTAGGAGAATTCAGCGAAGGGTTCCAGAGGGCAAAGGATCTCCATCAGAGAGAGGATTTATGGGGCCGAGAAAGTATGCATGGAGAAGTCACAGCCCCGGTCTCTGCTTCGCGGTATCATTCTGCATATCCCTCAGAACAATTCCGTCCGTACGTGGGAGAATCTGCACAGAATCGGATGGCACCTCCAGAGTCTGCGGATTTCGTCCCAGGAGATGTACCGATGAATTATATGGAGCCTATGAATGTACCTATAGGAGTGACAGATACTCCAGAACCTATTAGTGTATATTCGTCACACGTTCCCAATGCTGTACAACCAGTGCTCTTCAATAGGGAGTTACAGGATTCACCATTATGGGATTTTAGAGGATATAGTGAAGTGTCCAAAAGTTTCAGAGTACGCGGTAAGGCTGCGCTTTGAGTCTCTCAAGCTGGGATGGCGTTCAACGGTGACCTTATTTCAGCTGTGGAAGTCACGCCGACTACGCCAGGAGTATGGTTGAACTGATGCGAATGGGTTGAATCAGGGCCAAAGCTGAGCCATACCTCATAGGATATTACTTGCCCAAAGGCGTCGCTTGTATTTGTCTGCCTCGACGGGCCTTGGATTTGCAATTTGCCGGACGTCGAAATGGAAGCGTTTGTGGATAAACAAGTGGAGAGGTTGAAATTGATTTGGTAGCCTTGCGGAGACATATCAGATAACCACAATGCCTCATTTAAGAATCCGAGCATGCAAAACTAAATTCGCGCATGTGCACACGCTGATTGCCCTTGAGCCCGATGGAGACCCGTCCCCATTTCTACGATTACAGCATGCAATCGCATCCCATGTGGGAGCAAATACAGAGAACATTATTCAGTGTCATCCCGTACATTCCTCGCAAGAGACGTTTGAAGCAGTATCTCAATTAGCTCTACTGTTGGGACTTGATAGCGAAGCGCTTATTCAGGGGAAGATTGCACAGGTAGGAGTGATTAGGCTTAACGTTGCGGTACTACTAGAGCACGCTATCAACGAATGCGTGACTATAGTTGCTGGAAGGACTGCCAGAGATGAACATTACCGCGCAAGACACTTGGCTCCCGATGATAAACCTAATGTCTGGAAGCGCAGAAAAGTTGAAATTTCATGGTATCGTAGTTGGTGAGATGACGGAAGCTTGTTCGTTGCTTCACTATTATCTACGCAGATTGTTTCGTGATTCAAGAAGGTCTTCGGACTTTTGCACGCATTGCAGCAGCCACCGTGGCCGAGCTACGGGATTGTTCCCTTGACAAGTCGACAGCCATCTCAGTACGGTCGTTTTTTGAGGAAGAGACGGTAGTGTAATTGTCATTTTAAAGACCTTGTCTTCATGAACTGCCTTTGTAGACCTGCATAATGCCTATATGTGTAAACTATTCATCCTGGTCATGGAATTATATTTCATCTGTTGTTCGTTCTTTTATCCTACACACACACACAAAAACCATATGATGAAAAGCAAAGCAAACTGCAAGTGAGGCTTGACGTTCTTTGCTTAGCACAAAATGACGAGAGCGCGTCAGTCATTCCAAATCTCACCCCGCCCAGCACTGGCCATCTTGTTGCCCAATTTCTTTGGCGAATAGAATTTACGCTCTGCAGCCAACACATTTAGTACCGCCTGGTGGCATCATTCCTAAGCTACAAGCAAGACTGTAACTCTGCGCATACCCTTTTGCCGATAAGCTCCCACTTTTGGTTTCACTACAAAGGAGCAATGAGTTGGTATGTTTTCCCCTCAGCTTACTGGAAGGCGTCAAAGAGCGCTCTGGGTTGGACAAAAGTCTAGAACTGCAATAGGTGCCATATGTTCTATATTCTAGAGAAGGAGACTGATGTAGTCACTTCTTTTCAAGGCACGGTTTGAAAAAGGCGGTCAGTCGAGCGACTACCTCGGTAAGGCATACTAGTGTTTATCTGTCACTCTAGCATCAGACTCTAAGAATTGTTAACGTAACAGGTGATGCAGTCTACTGGGGCAATGGATAGAACGGTAGGGACCAGGGAGGGGAAATTGTTCAGCGGCGTTGGCTATAACGTTCCTAAGTGTCCTTACCTGATAACCAAAATATTCCGGTTACAAGATTGATCGTGAATTCGAAGAAGAGGAACGCCGTCTGAGAACGTAATATACTCTATTGTATATATCCTGCGGTTTCCTTGTTTTAATCCATCCCTCCCTGTTAGTTTGGAGAATAAGGCGGAGAATTTGCATAGGGAAGCAAAAGGATACTTGGATGCGGTTCGTGGTATGTCATTTTACGTCTCTACCATAATACCAGGAATTTGGGACGGTACTGACTCCTCGGCAAGGCATGACCCTGGCACAGCAAAGAATTGCGGAGACCATCAACTCATTCTACGAGGAGGGGTCACCATTGGGATATGCAGGGGCACAGTATAAGTTGGCCGTGTCAAAGATGGACGAACAAGCAAGGTCAGAGCTGGTGAGTTGGACGGAAAGGAATGTTGTCGAAATCGGCTCCTCTAACCACTTCCCCCATAGGATACAAATTACCGTGTGACGGTGCTCGATCCTCTTGGAAAACTTGTTGCGGTGTTCCCCGACTTCAATGACGCGCGAAAGATACGACAAAAGAAGTTACTCGATTATGATCGTCTTCGGAGCAACGTCAGGAAGCTGGTAGAAAAACCCTCTGATGACCCACAAAAACTGCCAAGGGTAAGGAAAACATTACTAAGCTACTGAGGATCTCATGTAAACCAACTCTGTCGTGACTACCCAACCAGGCGGAAGCAGAGGCTAATGCAGCGCGAGAAATTTATGAACATTACAATCAACAGCTCATCAACGAAATCCCGAAACTTATTGATCTACGGGTGCCATATCTCGATCCTTGTTTTGAAGCGCTAGTGAAATCACAGCTACGATTCAACGAATCCGCATTTGATAAGCTCAATGCCATCAGAACTGCTTTCCCGAATGAGGGGCGCGGATTGGAAGGGCAGGTAGAAGGTGTTTTGCAGCAGATGCGGGAGCTGACGATTTGCGGTTCTCATTGAAAAATCCGGAGGAATACAGTACACCTTTTATCAAACAGCTCTCAAATTCAATAATATAAGTCACCACATGTTTTCAGTTTCCCGTAAAAGTCCATTGCTTAATGAACTACAGACTTGGTCAAGTGACGCTTACATAACGCCAGGTAGCGTTCAAATGTCGCGTCACGTTTGCTGAAGCCCCTTTGCAGATGGAACGAAACCCGTGTTTTTCTCGCATAAAACGAGAATACTATGGCGGATACTCTTTCTTTGCAAGAGTCTATTGCTAACCCAACGGCCTATCCAGTGACCGATCTCGGACAGACAATGTATTCTAATGCGGAACCTCTCCTCCGTACCCGCACTGGAGAAACATCCGGACCCCCCTCAGCTCAAACCCCGACTTTCAGTCCCCTAAGCGGTGGACGCCATTTACTTGTGGGAGTAGATGACAGTGAATACAGCATTGAAGCTCTCAAATTTGCTTTTACTGGATATGCGAAAGAAGGAGATCGGATGACTGTTGTTAAGGTTAGGGTCTAAGGGTGTGCTTTGACGTTCATCAGGTGCGAGGTCATCATGTGTCTCTGCGGTGAGTATAGGCAATTTCGCCGCTGCCCGGTCAATTTGGGCCAAACTTGCCTGGAGACTATAGGAGAGATGTAGGTACCGATGCATACATACCAGGTTCCAGCGCAGGACGGAAATTGATGTCGCTTGCCTGATTCCTAGAAAATGATCGAACTCTACGAAGAAGTAGGCAAGATACGCATCGAAGTGGGCGCCGAGAGGATTCCTTACAGAGTGGACATTCGATATGGCGACCCACGAGAGATCTTGATTGAAGCGGTGAGGACTGCAAGTCATGGGATCCTCATTGCTCCTGGGAGCTTGACAGATCTGCTTACCCAACTGTCGTCAGTCAAAACAGATCCACCCGACCTGTATCATTGTAGGGAGCCGCGGCAGATCCGGTTTGACTAGGTATCATTCGTGATCTTTCAGCTTCTCCACTCTTGACATTCGTCCTCATGCCCAATTGGTCATATGGAAAACTTGTGACAGTATGTTTTTGGGAAGCGTCAGTCTGTATGTTCTACAAAACGCAGACTACCCGGTTTTGATCGTTAAGAAAGGGGCATTTTCAACGCTAATCAAGCCTCCGCCAGGCAGGAGAGCGTCTGCCGTATTCTAGCAATGCCGTAGCGTAACAGAATTCGCACATAGCAAATGGATTATGCTACGAATCGATTTGTACATAAGATGTAATATAGTTGCTGTATGCGTTGTCATTCTCTTATATCCGCGGTCGATTTTCTGGCAAGATCGTTTTGCTGTGAGATAGAAATCAACCGCCCGGCCTTTTATGAATAATCGGTAGCATCGCGATTGCACCCTTCTATGCTGAGCTGTCACGCGCACGCCGAAACTTTAAAAGCTAAAGACCAACGCAACCAGCCAACCAACCAAGCAGCACCGCGAGTGCACGTTCCAGATACCTTAGTTTAAAGATAATTATATATACACAATGAAGCCATCACCTATATTGCCTGGCAAGTCCCACCAACATTTTCTAGAATCTGCTTCAACTCATCAAATCATCGTCAGCATCAAAACTCTCGTCTGTTTCCCCCAATATCTCTCCACCCATATCGCTGTGCTCGCCCATACTCGACCCTGCAAAGCTATCATCGTCCATCTATGACACAGAGAAACAGGAGATCAGTCATATCACATCCGGAGGAAACGCATAGCCCAACATTGTGCTTACGCCGCGAGGATCCCTTTCTGGTACGTTAGAGACAAGCGTTGAGCGAAATCGTGGCCATTCAATGGTATCACGCTGTGTATTTTTGGGACAAATGAGTGCATGCGTTTCAAAGTACTACCAGAGTGTCATCACGCGCAACCTTGTCTCGCAATGCCTCCTCCCTTCGCAGTAGTGTTTCCATTTGCGCTTCTTTTGTGTACTTGGTATACCACATGGGTTCCGTCTTTCGGGGTAGGAGGGAAGGGCCGTATAAACCCGGTTGAGTACGGTAAGACATGATTGATCGCCTAGTATTCCACGAGGCCAAATCGATTCCACCAGCTTTGTGCAAGTCTGATGCTTACGTAATCACACAAGCACTGGGTTCAACAGTTGCAAAAGTTTCGTCTATTACCGATCTTTAAAACATCATTATGCTTCATCATAAGCTTCCTTTACACATCTAACCACATGTCCAAAGAATTCGGATATTCCAATGTCTCTAGGGGTATCTAATCCTCGAGAGTGGCGGCCTTTCATAACTTGGGCGTAAAATTCGTCGACATTCAAGTGTCTAGTGCAACGATTCATCAGTGACGTTTCCATATCCAGCGAACGCTTATGCACATACCCATCTTTATTGATGTCAAAGAGATCAAAAATGACATCCACCTGCGTTTTTGTCAAATCCGTCTTGGTCACGGCTTTCACAACCCGATGAAAGTCCGTGCGATCAAGGCCGCTGGACATGGAATTGTAGAGCTTGTATGCCAGTCCCAGGTCATGCAGACGGGTTCGAATCATTTGGTCAAACTCTAAGGGTGGGGTAACAGATGAGAACATGGTCCTGACGCAATGGAAAATGTGGGGAAGGGCTGACCATAGAATTGCTGGAATGTCACTCGCTCTTCGTATTTGGGAATATGCTGCGCCTTCTCCACTAGCTTCTTCAAATGTTGCGGAGAAGCATAGCTGACGATAGACAGCGCAAAATCGGACATGCTGATACTGTCCGTCTGCGCATCAACATCGAATTGATGGAACTCGAGTTTCAAGACCTCCAAATGCAGGCGTCGCATGGAAATCTTTAATGTCCAACGTAACAGGTGAGGTTCCTATCCGTTTCAGATCTCACTTGATGGCACATACCAATAAAAATCATCGTAAAC